TACAAGACACAAACAAATCTTTGCAGACAAGTAGCCAGATTGTTAAACTATTATGACAAGCTTAGACAAGTTTCTGCACGCTGACACTGCAGCGCTACATGACCAGTCCTGGAATTAAATTGTCACATCTTGTATATTTTTATATCATCAGTCTTAATAAGTTTGTTTAAATTATAATTATAAATAAAATACATTTAATTATCCATTACTTTTCTTAAAAAGTAAAAAGAATTGGTTTATTTTTGTTTTATGTTTATTAAAGTTTTAAATGTAAAATTTGAACATTTATTAAACATTTTCTTAATGCTAGATTTTATTGTGATTGAAAATAACATAACATTTCTACTTTTAATTTGTAAACTTTATATTGGATAAAACTGCAGTAACAGAGTTTTCACTTATAATGAAATTATTTTATTTGAAAATCTTTGTTTTTTTATTATATGCCTAAATATAATAAATTAATATAAATTAAAAACCAAAAGTATTGCATTATACACTGGTGGAAATTGAAAGTGTTACACCCAGATGGAATTGGTGGAAATTTGCAAAACTTGGTAAACATGTACAAGGGCATACCCAGAAGAAATGAACACAAAATGAAATGAATTACGCAAGTTTTATTGCTGTTTGGTACATGTTTCAGTAAGTGGTATGCCCACCTTGAGTATGGATACACTCTTGGATCCTTGCAGGCATTGAATCAATAAGTGCTTGAGTGTCTCATTGGAGTATGTCTTTTCATGCCTGCACAACTTGTGCAGTCAGTTGTTGTACAGTGTGCACTGGATGGCTATGAGATGTAATCCGTCTACCCATGGCATCCCAGACATGCTGTATAGGGGATAAATCTGGAGACTGGGTGGGCCAATCCATGATTGCGACACTTTGCAAAGCCTGTCTTGTGATGGCAGCAGCATGAGGGCAGGCATTATCTTTTTGGAAGATACCATTTTGGATGGTGTTCATGAAAGGTATGACTACTGGATGGATCACCCTGTCCACATACTGTAAGGCGGTCATTGTGCCTTCAACAACCACCAACTCAGTCCTGCTGTCGTAACTGATTGCTTCCCAAACCATGACACCAGGAGTTGGACCTGAGTGCCACTCTAAAATTACAGCAGGGTGGGCTATTTCTCTATCATGCCAGCAGACATGTTGCTAACTATCACATTGGCCTAAACAGAATTGGGATTCATCACTAAACACAACTGTACACCATTCATGTGTCCAATTACGTCTAGCAGCACACCACATTAGCTGTTGTTGGCGATGAAATCTGGTTAAGAAAATCTGGTTAAATTGCATGGGGGTCCGAGATCTTAGCCCAGCATCAAGCAATCAGTTTATAATATTCTGTGGGGTGACTCTTGCAGTAACTACTGCTCAGATCTGTGCTGCCATCACTCATCTGTCAGCAACTGCCATCTGCACAATATGACGATCTTCATGTGGCGTCGTCCTTCTGCGTGGACCTGTGCCAGGTCTGTGAGTACTGGACCCTTCCTGCATCCATCTTGTGACCACTCTTTGTACTGACATTGCAGTACAGCATAGTGTGCAGTATCATATCGTGATGCTCCCATTTCTGACATGCCAATTATCTGACCTCTTTCAAAGTCAGACATTTGGGTGTACGAAGTTCTCACTCGTTGATATGGCATAGCTGGTCACCAACAACCTGTGGACTAAAAAAAGTCATGTTCCCTAACACAGTTCACAACTTATAAACTAAACACTATAGCAATTTTGCATAACAAATGTCTCCATAATTTCCATATCACCGTATGTACTTCATTTAATTTTTGATCATTTAATACCCTTCAAAAAGAGATTCTTCTGCCCCAATTTTATATGTCTTCGACAATACTGGGTGGGTGTAATGCTTTCAATTTCTGCCAGTGTATTTGCTGGAAATTGCATATACATGTTAGTTTCACTGTTCTACTGTTCCAGTTTTGCTGNTGTAATAATATATTTATTGTCCTTTGAGTTGTTGAGTTTATATTCAGTATAATGCATTATGCATCACATGGTCTACTTGCAACGAATGCTGATTGTTGTTTTCAACTGCAGGCATAAGATGACATCAATTGTAATCTCAATTTCAAAGCAAGTAATAAGTAAAAAGTTTTAAAGTTTTTGTACATCTAAACTAGAATTTCTTGAAATGAGATCTTTCAAGAATACTTTTTATATTTACTTTGAAATATCTTATCTTGTGCAAAATTTATTTTAATTAATTAATTTAATCAAAAATCAAAACTGACTGAATAGATATTTGAATATAAAAAGCTAAATATTGTAATAATGAAAGAAAACATTATCATCTTAATTAATACAGCTACTTCAGATATAAACACTTAAATGTTCTATGTGCTATCAAAAACATCCAGAAATATGTACAAGGGTTGACCAAAAACTAAGGTTACAAGGCCGATATTCCTAGAGTTTCATTTGTTATAGATAAATGAGAAATGTGCGGTAATTCCAATACATGCAGTTGGCAACTGTGCAGAGTTTCAGCCACCTGCCACCTACAGCACTAGTTGTAGGTAAACACAAATGGCGACTCATTTGAAAAGCTGGTTTCGCGAAAAAATCTGCTCAGTTATTCGATTTCTGTGGATGAAACATGTAACCGCAACTGAAATTCACCCACAGCTGGTAGAGGTTTATGGAGAGGCTGTAATGTCGCTCCATAATGTCTTCTGACACATTCAGCATGTTGCAGAATGGTGTCGGAAGACCACCATGCTGTTGAAGCAGTTTCGCTGGGATATCATTGACCACCCTCCCTACAGCCCAGACCTTGCTCCAAGCGACTTTCACCTGTTTCCTCAGCTGAAGGAGAACCTAGTAGGACAATGATTCACTTCAGACAAGGAAGTGAAACACTTAGCGACAACTTGGCTGAACATGCAAGGAAAGGATTTTTACCAGGAGGGAATTTTCAAACTCATCACACGAAGTGAAAAGTGCCTGAACCGATATGGAGACTATGTCAAAAAATAACCTGATGTATATGTTACTGGCCAAACCCGATTTCAGGCCAAACTAGTTTGTCCTATGCATGTCAGGATATACTAGTTTGGCCTAAATACTTTAGGCTTAACTAGTTTGATCTAGATTGAACTGATTTATGTACTACAAATAGGTGCCAGTGTAAAAAAAAAAATTTGTGTGATTCGAAATGCCACCACAGTACACCCAGTGTAACGTTAAAGTGTACCTAGGTAACCCCAATGGTGGCACTTTGGACTGTTCGTGCTCCTGGCAGAATCCTCCTGGAGGGGAGCCGCCGGCAGGCTGCCCATTGTTTAATGTCACTAGTTATTGATTCATGGTAGTTCTTGAACAAAAGAAAAAAAAGGAAACATCTACTAAAAATGTAGTTAACCTAACCAAACCAACCTAATCGAAGCACCACCATTGGGGTTACCTAGGTACACTTTAACGTTACACTGGGTGTACTGTGGTGGCATTTCGAATCACACAAATTTTTTTTTTTACACTGGCACCTATTTGTAGTACATAAATCAGTTCAATCTAGATCAAACTAGTTAAGCCTAAAGTATTTAGGCCAAACTAGTATATCCTGACATGCATAGGACAAACTAGTTTGGCCTGAAATCGGGTTTGGCCAGTAACATATACATCAGGTTATTTTTTGACATAGTCTCCATATCGGTTCAGGCACTTTTCACTTCGTGTGATGAGTTTGAAAATTCCCTCCTGGTAAAAATCCTTTCCTTGCATGTTCAGCCAAGTTGTCGCTAAGTGTTTCACTTCCTTGTCTGAAGTGAATCATTGTCCTACTAGGTTCTCCTTCAGCTGAGGAAACAGGTGAAAGTCGCTTGGAGCAAGGTCTGGGCTGTAGGGAGGGTGGTCAATGATATCCCAGCGAAACTGCTTCAACAGCATGGTGGTCTTCCGACACCATTCTGCAACATGCTGAATGTGTCAGAAGACATTATGGAGCGACATTACAGCCTCTCCATAAACCTCTACCAGCTGTGGGTGAATTTCAGTTGCGGTTACATGTTTCATCCACAGAAATCGAATAACTGAGCAGATTTTTTCGCGAAACCAGCTTTTCAAATGAGTCGCCATTTGTGTTTACCTACAACTAGTGCTGTAGGTGGCAGGTGGCTGAAACTCTGCACAGTTGCCAACTGCATGTATTGGAATTACCGCACATTTCTCATTTATCTATAACAAATGAAACTCTAGGAATATCGGCCTTGTAACCTTAGTTTTTGGTCAACCCTCGTACATATTTCTGGATGTTTTTGATAGCACATAGAACATTTAAGTGTTTATATCTGAAGTAGCTGTATTAATTAAGATGATAATGTTTTCTTTCATTATTACAATATTTAGCTTTTTATATTCAAATATCTATTCAGTCAGTTTTGATTTTTGATTAAATTAATTAATTAAAATAAATTTTGCACAAGATAAGATATTTCAAAGTAAATATAAAAAGTATTCTTGAAAGATCTCATTTCAAGAAATTCTAGTTTAGATGTACAAAAACTTTAAAACTTTTTACTTATTACTTGCTTTGAAATTGAGATTACAATTGATGTCATCTTATGCCTGCAGTTGAAAACAACAATCAGCATTCGTTGCAAGTAGACCATGTGATGCATAATACATTATACTGAATATAAACTCAACAACTCAAAGGACAATAAATATATTATTACATCCAAATTCCATATTAAATGATGATATCAACATCTTTCACGAAACTTAACCATTTTTAATTGTAAAAATGAATATTATAGATTCAGAAGTTTATTATTTTTGTTATTTCTACAAAGATATAAGTTATATATATGTATGTATGAAAACAATATATCCACACTTATTCAATATTTTACTTCCTGTTTTATATAAACAAGAAAGGAAAATATTTTTAAAAAATGTTTATGTTACACATGCAAACTAATCAAGAAAATTGTTAAATTTTTTTTAATTAAAAAAAATACCTTTTGGAGTTATGTCATTTAATAAAATATCGTCACAATCATGTTCTCTAACTTGAATACGAAATTGAGGTCGACCTTCAATATCACAAATACTGCAAATATATTGACACCTTTTTCCCAATGATCGCATGCTCCAATACATTCGAATAACTTTATAGCCAACCTAAATTAAATATTTTTAATTATAATAAAATATTACAATCTAATATTTTTGATAACCTTCATATTTTATATAATTATATACAAGGTGTGATAGTTAAATTCCAGGACTGGGGTAATAAAAGGACACAAAGAACATATAATAAAAAACCCTTTAGTATGTTTCACAGTAATCCCCCTGGAGGGCCATGCACTTCTCACAATGCTTGTACAAGTTTTTGAAACACTTGGCAAAGTCAATTCCGTTGACAGCTCTTAATTCCTTGGTCACATTGCGCTGTATGTCCTCCAAGTCGTTGAATCTTCGTCCCTTCAATGTGATATTGATTTTCGGAATCCAGTAAAGAGGGGTCATCATCAACATCTTGAATGAACTGTTGACATGCTTCCAACCAGAGACGCTTTTGGTCCTCAGTGAGATAGTGAGGAATGAAACAGGAGCAGATTTTTCTTTTGCCCAAATCTTCGGTGATGATTAAGCGAGTTGTCTCCAGATTGATGCCAGTTGTCTCTGCTATCATCTGAATAGACATTTGATGGTCATATTGCAGCAAGTCTCTGATTTTTTCGAAGATTTCTGGTGTTCGAACTGATTGAGGTTGTCCAGGGAAAGAATCGTCCTCAAGGTCTTCCCAACCATCCCTGAAATGCGCAAACCACTCGAAAACATGAAAGCAGGATAGGGCATCATTCCCATAAACTTGCTTAATGAGGGCATACGTCTCTGTTGCACTTTTACCCAACTTGTAACAAAACTTAATGTTTGCTTTTTGTTCCATGACAAAAATGTGACAGCACTTTCTCACAGCAATATGTGAATGGAGTACAGAAAAAGAACGAGTTACAAGACACAAACAAATCTTTGCAGACAAGTAGCCAGATTGTTAAACTATTATGACAAGCTTAGACAAGTTTCTGCACGCTGACACTGCAGCGCTACATGACCAGTCCTGGAATTAAATTGTCACATCTTGTATATTTTTATATCATCAGTCTTAATAAGTTTGTTTAAATTATAATTATAAATAAAATACATTTAATTATCCATTACTTTTCTTAAAAAGTAAAAAGAATTGGTTTATTTTTGTTTTATGTTTATTAAAGTTTTAAATGTAAAATTTGAACATTTATTAAACATTTTCTTAATGCTAGATTTTATTGTGATTGAAAATAACATAACATTTCTACTTTTAATTTGTAAACTTTATATTGGATAAAACTGCAGTAACAGAGTTTTCACTTATAATGAAATTATTTTATTTGAAAATCTTTGTTTTTTTATTATATGCCTAAATATAATAAATTAATATAAATTAAAAACCAAAAGTATTGCATTATACACTGGTGGAAATTGAAAGTGTTACACCCAGATGGAATTGGTGGAAATTCGCAAAACTTGGTAAACATGTACAAGGGCATACCCAGAAGAAATGAACACAAAATGAAATGAATTATGCAAAGTTTTATTGCTGTTTGATACATGTTTCAGTAAGTGGTATGCTCACCTTGAGCATGGATACACTCTTGGATCCTTGCAGGCATTGAATCAATAAGTGCTTGAATATCTTGCTGGGGTATGTCTCACCATGCCTGCACAACTCGTGCAGTCAGTTGTTGTACAGTGCGTGCTGGATGGCTATGAGATGTAATCCGTCTACCCATGGCATCCCAGACATGCTCTGTAGGGGATAAATCTGGAGACTGGGCAGGCTAATCCATGATTGCGACATTTTGCAAGGCCTGTCTTGTGATGACAGCAGCATGAGGACAGGCATTATCTTGTTAGAAGATACCATTTTGGATGGTGTTCATGAAAGGTATGACTACTGGATGGATCACCTTGTCCACATACAAGTTGACCCTCCTATAACACTGTTGATTATTCCATTTTTATATAAATTTCATGTTGTACGAGTAACTTAGATTTTACAAATACATGAACCATTCACAGCCCGGCACACGTATTTGTAAAATCTAAGTGACTCCTACAACATGAAATTCATATAAAATGGAATAATCAACAGTGTTATAGGGGGGTCAACTGGCAGGCGGTCATTGTGTCTTCAACAACCACCAACTCGGTCCTGTTGTCGTAACTGATTGCCTCCCAAACCACAACACCAGGAGTTGGACCTGAGTGGCACTCTGAAATTACAGCAGGGTGGGCTCTTTCTTCAGCACGCCGGCGGACATGTTGCTGACTATCACATTGGCCTAAACAGAATCGGGATTCATCACTAAACACAACTGTACACCATTCATGTGTCCAATTATGTCTAGCAGCAGGCCTGGCCACCGACGCCATGGACACTATTTATAATCAAATTTATGTGCCTATCACCATCTATGCCTGCAGCAGCTGGGGTTGGGCTGTGCGCAAAGTGTACATCAGACGCAAATTGATTGCCGCCCAGAGAAGAGCCCTCATGCACATAACTAGAGCCTATAAAATGACCCCAAACATCTCCCTCCAGATTTTGGCTAGGAAAGCACCGATTAATCATCTAATTGACTATAACACTAAGCTTTGGCATCTTAAGTGGGGTAAGGCTACCTGCATCAATAATCAAATTATCGACAGTCAGGATCTTGAATGCAACATTCAGTATGCTTTAACTAAACACCCAGCCACTCCTAATAAGATCAACTTTTACCAACCTGATCATGTGGATATAGAAATCTTTACTGATGGATCCAAAGCAAATTTCAGTGTAGGCAGTGCCTTTGTTGCCTTCCACAACAATGAGGAGATCGCCTCTGGTCAGCACAGGTTGGGCGATCATTGTTCTGTTCTCCAAGCCGAGATGTTCGCCATCAGGTCGGCTGTGGCCTGGTCTGTCTCCAACTTTGCAGGCAAATCTGTGGCCATCATCTCGGACAGTGCATCTTCAATCTCCCTCATAAAAAACCATTCCTGTCATCCCATCTCCACAGATATACAGGACACTATCAACAATTCCTGCAATCTTTTCTTCATCTACTGGACGCGTGCTCACCAGGGCACGCTTGGTAACGAGCGTGCTGATGCCTTGGCCAAATCTGCTAGTGATGACTCTAACCTTCCAGTCGCCTATAATAAAATTAACAGCAACACTGTCAAAAACCTGCTATGGAAGGACCTTCTTGTGACTTGGCAACAGGAATGGGACAATCATAACCACCCAGTTACACACAGATTCATCCCAAACATTGAGAGTTTTCTCCTTAATAAATGGTACATTCCAGGTCACCGCAACAGCCAGTTTCTCACCGGCCATGGTAGATTTCAGTCATACTTGGCTAGATTTGTCAATGCCCCTAGCTCTAACTGCTCCCTCTGTGGTACTAGTGACAGCAATCTCCATTACATCTTCGACTGGCCCATGCTGGAGCTGGAGAGGCACTATTTAAAGTCCACCATTGAAGCACACGGGTACAGCTGGCCTAGAGAGTGCTACAGCTTCTTCAACCACCAAGACTCTTACCTCGCTTTTCTTGTGCTGATAAACAACTACTTTGGTCGTACCACTGTCACTGCTTACATCTAACAGCCTCACATGGCTGCAGGCCATTCACCTACATCTGTCTTCTGCAACGTTGAAACATCATTACTTTTCTCTATTATGTTCTATTACTTTAATCACTTAATTCCTCTTGATTTTGTGCGTTAAATTTACACATCCACGCTTACTTGTATTTGCAATCTCCGTATTTCATGTACCTATATATCAAAACTTTAATTATGTATTTTATATTACACTTGTTTTTTTCCTTGCTTACATTACATTGTATATATTTCTAAATAATTTTCTCTTTATTGTTATTATTATTCTTATTATTATTTTTTTTTTACTTTATATCATCTCACTCATATTATGTATCCATGTACTTCTATGTATCTAGTACCATGTCTAACTGGGTTATACATTTGTGGCACCCAGTATTTACTGTACTCCAGTAAGTTACAATAAAATATCTATCTATCTATCTCTATGTCTAGCAGCACACCACGTTAGCTGTTGTTAACGATGAAATCTGGTTAAGGGAACACACTGCATGGGGGTCCGAGATCTCAGCCAGCATCAAGCAATCGATTTACAATTGTCCGTGGGGTGACTCTGGCAGTAACTGCTGCTTGGACCTGTGCTGCCATCGCCCATCTGTCAGCAACTACCATCCGCACAATATGGTGGTCTTCAAGTGGCGTCGTCCTTCTGTGTGGACCTGTGCCAGGTCTGCGAGTACTGGACCCTTCCTGCATCCACCTTGTGACCACTCTTTGTACTGACATTGCAGTATGGCCAGTCCTTTGGGCGATTTCATGATATGATGCTCCCATTTCTGACATGCCAATTATCAGACCTCTTTCAAAGTCAGACATTTGGGTGTACAGAGTTCTCACTCGTTGATATGGCATAGCTGGTCACCAACAACCTGTGGACCAAAAAAAGTCATGTTCCCTAACACAGTTCACAACTTATAAACTAAACACTAGCAATTTTGCATAACAAATGTCTCCATAATTTCCATACCACTGTATGTACTTCATTTAATTTTTGATCATTCAATACCCTTCAAAAAAAGATTCTTTTGCCCCAATTTCATATGTCTTCGACAATACTGGATGGGTGTAACACTTTCAATTTCCGCCAGTGCATTATTAATAAGTATCAGTTATTAGCAGGTAATTATTTAAAAATCTTAAATTTAACTGTAAAGTTTATCCAAGATAAACATGGTATTATGAATGTTGAGAAGTATCATAACAATAATCATAAGAGATTTATTATTGTTAGACAAATTGTATATCAGATATTAAGAGTGACAAAAATTATTGTAAAATCCTAAATACTGAACCTGTTACCGGTGTAATTTGCGTGAAAAATATTGTAAAATCACTTTATTATAGAAACATGTTTACTTGACTATTTTCCTAGCAGCATAGCTATTTTGCAATCATTATTTTCAAATTTTGAATCAAAATTCAATTGACCATTACTTGCTTTTCTCTTAAAATGCATTAAATAAAATTTTAAATTTCAGGTGTTTTTGAGAGTTTTATACTCTCAAAAACACCTGAAAGTTTCAAAGTAAATATTATCAAAATACTATCAGCTATAAATGGAATTACTATCACATGCACTTATTCTTTGATACAAAAACTACATTCATTTGCCATTCCTTCTAGGAATTGTGATAGATTTTAGTCACAAAAATTTTTAAATAATAATAAATATCAATTATTAGTTATGCCCATGTAAATAATTCAAATGTATATAAAACAAAAGATTGAATGCAAAAATAAGTTATTATTTGGAAAATTATTGTAATTGAAAGCAAGGACAATAAATTATGGGGATGGAATCTTTACACTCAGATTAGTCATGAATGTAAACTGTTTTTACAGTTTCTATTTGAGTTCACTTGTTTTTTGAGTTGGATTAATGGAAGGCAGTGCACTACATGGGTGATCTGCCAAGGAGACACGTGGGAGGAGTTTTATAAAATGGCCTCTAGGTGGTAGTCACATAAAGAAAATCTATAAACTTTATGCAGCTATCCTGTTGATCAGACACTAACCTATGAGTAACTATTAGTGATAAGTAGTTTTATCCACTTGCTTTTTTTTTTTTGTTTTTGTTTTTCCTACTCACCATCAATAGTTAACAATCACTTCCTAGGCATTACTGTCATAACTGAATTAACATTTAATTTAAAAATATTCACTAATTTTTGTTGCTTGATTAAAAAAAATTAATAATTTTACATGGAAAAACATATATACTTTTGACACAAACCATTCAACATAAGAAGTGATAGTGATTCCAAATCATTTCAAAAACTGTGAATTTTGGATATTTAACTTTATGTTATTTTAACTCATTAAAATTTTTTTATTACAACTATGAATTAATTAAAAACACTATACATGCTTGCATTCAAAGTAGATCATAAAGTTTATAAGAATATAGTATTGTGAAAAGATAGAGTAATTAACATTGATAGTGCTGCCTCTAGAGAGAGCAAGGTCATTGTTTTTTGCAAAAAATAGTTTTCTGAAAACAAATTAATAAAAAATAATGGTCAAGATCAGAATCCTAAATCATGTTTTGTAAAAATATACAAATTGTATAGATTTTTACAGTAGTTTATTACTTCTAAGGTGCATTACAGACATTACTATATTTATACATATGATATATTGGAAATATGAAAATTTTTCATTAATTTTGTATTAAATGCAGCTCATCACAAGATAAATTACAGATAGGACATCTTTACATAAATTATAAAATAAAAAAGGCACGAATTAGAAAAGACCATGATAATTATGTTTAGCTCTGTCTTTTAGATGCTTTATGTAGGTACAAATCATGTCTGGAAAGTAAGTACCGTTTTGGAAAAACTCACATAAAAAATCTTTTTTCAAAACAAAATTTATTTTTACATGAAAGAGCATGTTGGAAACTATTTTTCTACATAGTTACGAGTTGTTCAGACATTTGTTCAGACATTTGTCATATCGGGAAACCAACTTGTCTATACCCTCTTCAAAGAAAGATGGTGCCAGTGAAGACAGCCACTGCTGAACATTGGTTGTTGCGTGTTCATCGCTGGCAAAGCGCCTCTTTCCAAAATCATGCTTCAAGTTCAAGAACAAATGGTAGTCTGCAGGTGCAAGGTTGGGGCTGTACGGCGGGTGATCGAACTGCTCCCAACCAAATTGTTGAATAAGGTTTTGAGTGACACCAGCAGTATGGGGACATGCGTTGTTGTGAAGCAACACAATGCCTTTACTGAGATTTCCACGTCTTTTGTTTTGAATTGAACGGCGAAGTTTTTGCAATGTTTCACGGTATCATTCTGTATTGATGGTTTTACCTCTGGGAAGAAACTCAACAAGCAGAACGCCCTGGCTGTCCCAGAACACAGTGCACATGATTTTTCGTGCTGACAACGTTGTTTTGAATTTGTGTCTTGTAGGGGACCATGAATGCCTCCACTTCATCGACTGTTGTTTTGATTCTGGAGTGACATCACAAACCCAAGTTTCATCACCGGTAACAATTTTGTTTAGGAAATCTTTACTCTCTTCACTGTATCGGATAAGAAATGTCAAAGCACTTCCAAGTCGCTTCGTTTTGTGGACATCCGTAAGCATTTTGGGAACCCAATGGGAACACAATTTGCGATAATTTAAGCGATTTGTGACAATCTCATGCAAAACAGTTTTTGAAATTTGTGGAAACTCATCACAAAGCAATCTTATTGTGAACCATCTGTTTTCAAGAATTTTCTCATTCACTTTTGCAACCAAACCATCATTGACAATAGAAGGCTGGCCACTCCGTGCTTCGTCATGAACATTGGTGCGTCCAGCATTGAATTGTCGAACCCACTTTCTCACCATTCCATCACTCATTATATCTTCACCATAAATCTCTACAAGTTGACGATGAATTTCAACTGGCTTAACATTCTTTGCGTTCAAAAACCGTATTACAGAATGCACTTCACAATCGGCGGGATCAGCAATCATCTTAAACATTTTGAACACTCACTAACATGTGGAAAAACAACACAATCCGGCTCTAATGGCATCACTGGACTGACAATCAACCAGAGACACGTGTGCGCAGATGCTGAACTGCGATACTACCGCTGCAGTGGCGGTAGAATGAGATGGTACTTACTTTCCGGACACACCTCGTATTATTGTTGTATTAATATTGGACATTAGAGAAGATGTAAGTGTTTTTAAATATTGTCAAGTGTAACATTATATATATTTAAAAAATTTTTATATAATAATATTGTTATAAAATGTAAAACTGCAGAGAAGGGGCCAAAACACACAAAAAGAGACCTGCAGGTCTGAAACACAAAAAGAGTGTACAGGTGAAAATAAAGGGATACTTTTTGTTTTATTTTTAACTAAGACTTCCTCCCTTTGCTAATCCTATTTATAAACAAAGTCTACATGGACAATATAAAAACAAAATTTTATTATTAATATTTGTGACATTAAATAAACAACACTGTAATTTTCCCTTCAAATATATTGTTTCAGTCCTCTAAAAATTTGGATATAAGATTATAGTCTCATTGGATTATTTTGAAAATCATAATTATAAAGTGTTCTAAAACTGATATAATAATATAAAGAAACTAAGATATTAGTTTTTTCTTTTGTGTTATCACAATATTCATTCTTTATTAAGATTATCATTAAATATTAAGTTATATTAAGACAAGCATTTATTAAGAATAGGGGGATCAATATGATAAATTAAATACAGTCGACCCCCCTATAATTACGGTCCCTATAATTACGATTCCTATAAAACTGCGAAAAAATTGTGACGGTATCCGTAAAAAAAGGTAAAAAAAACTCCTATAATTACATAAAACATCATTGGGCAGCCGAACTACTTTCCCGCCGTCCATAGCGCCACGCTACGGAGAGGTTTCTATCGTCTGGACAGTATTATATAAATTAGGTACTGTACATATAATTATATATTAACTTATTGTAACTTTATTATAATTAAATATATAATTTCCGCCGTCTAGTGTGGCGCCACACTACGAAGATTTTAGGCGAACTATCGTCTGTACAGTATGTAAATTAGGTACCGTAAGTCTAATACAGTACTGTAATTTTATACATTTCTTGTGAAAGAAACATTTCTTATTCAACGGCGATTAAAATTATTTATATTAATGATGTCTCCAAAGTTCAACGAAGTTTTCGCTGAAAAATAAGTTGTTAGAAAACGGTTGCTACTTGCTGAGCTGTTCCGCAACGAAACCAAGCTTTAGTAATGGCGATGTCGAATGGTGCACACTCAGTAAGTAATCCTACAATTTTTTGTTTATAGCGTAGTTTATATGGATTATTTCCAAAAAATATATACGTATTTTGGAAATGTTGAGTCGGATTAGTCTAGAATCGATTAATTTTATGGAAGAAAACCTTTCAATCAGCCGTAGTCCGTAAACTTCACACATGTTGGGCTGTGATTGGAAGGACTCGTAAGAAATCAGATTCCTAATGAATGGAACGTATCTATGATCTTATAGGGGGGTCGACTGTAATTAATATACATATTAGAACTGTAAATGAAGTATTACTTCCATTACAGTTTTCTATGAGAGATATTTTGAATTCTGGAAAAACAATACATATGAAGAGCCAATCTGCAGAAATGGGTTAAGTATATACATTTCATTCACCTATATAAAAAAGATTAACAGTTTAAAATAAATCTGTGTATTTATATAAATTTACTTACAGGATAAATACAATTTGATGTATGAAATGCAGGCATTTGATGAGGTAAAAGCTGACCAATATTTAAAAATATAAGACTGCCAATTCTTATAAGATGTTGATCTCCCTGATGTATCATGCTATAAAAAATGTTCATAATAAAAATTAAAGTCTTAACAGTAATAAAATTTTCTTCTAAATGAAATTGAAATATCTTTTCATATAGAGAATAAGTATAAAAGTTTTTCTATTATTCCAAAAAATGGTGTTATAAAGTATGAGAGTTTTCTTAACTTCAAAATTTAATATTAAATTTTATTTTATTATAAACAATTAAATATACAAACCTTGCAACCTGTTTATGCTCATCTCTATTTACATAAACTCTTCTATATACTGCCACAGATTCTAGTTCATTTTCAGGATTAGCCATTTTTGATAAATGTTGAGGACATAACATAGTCTAAAAATAAGCATTTAAAATATTTTATAAACAATTAAAAAACTTTTTAATTTTGAAACTTTAGAAATTAGAAAAATTATAATTAGAAATTACAGTGGAACCCCGGTCAACGACCAAATCGGTTAATGAACTTTTATTTTGCAAAAATGTCTCGGATAACGAACTTAATGGCTTTTTGTGTCAAATTTGTAAGCTTGCTTTCACGAAACTTTCTGAACCACTTACGGCACGTGGAATCATCAATGGCTCCCTCACCATACACAGAACATATCTCTTTTGTGTCTGCGAAGCATTCTTGCCTTTTCGGAAATAAAAAAGCATAATATGTCGAAAATGCTCCTTATTTTCAGCCATTTGTAATGCTTAACAAAATTTTAAAAACACAACTAAGTAACACAACTTTATTCTCAAATACTAGCTGAGATCTCTTTTGTCAAACAACATCAAAATTTTACACATGTGAAGGAAATAACACTTTAGTGTTGCGTTTTTAGCCAGCTGGTGCTAAAAACAGGACAAACTTTTGCATCAATCCAATAGTTTCCAGCCGTTCTAAAACCTCACAAATTTCAGTTGCTCTTAGGCGTGCGTGAGGTAAGCATTGCTTTTTCAAGTGCGCTAAACTTCGTTTTTTTAGTTTTGTTATTTATACTGTATATTTAATCAATATGGCACTAAAGAAAGAGAAAAGTAACAATGGAAATAGAAAACATTTTAGTGTAGCATTAAAGAAAGAAATTAATTCAAAATACAAGAACGGCATTTGCGTTTCTGACATCGCTAAAAACTATAATGTGGCAAAATCGACTATCTCTACAATTATTAAAAACAAAAAAGCATTTAAGGCTGCCAAAGTGGCTAAAGGAGTGAATGTGATATCGAAACAAAGATCTAAAGTTCTAGATGAAGTTGAAAAACTGTTGCTAATATGGATCAATGAAAAGCAACTTGCTGGAAACAGTGTTAGTGAAGCTATAATTTGTGAAAAGGCTAAAAATTTATACAATGACTTGTTTACCCAGACACCCAGTACAAGTGCAGACAGGCAGGACTTTAAAGCGAGCCGAAGGTGGTTTGATAGGTTTCGTCGACGAACTGGCATTCACAGTGTCATAAGACACGGGGAGGCTTCAAGTTCAGATGAAAAAGCAGCAAAAGCATTTGTAGATGAATTCGCAGAGTTTGTAAAAAGTGAAGAATACGTCTGGAATCAAGTAATTGCAATGAGACTGGTCCTTTTTGGAAAAGAATGCCTAGACGAACATACATAACCCAAGAAGAGAAAGCACTTCCCGGGCACAAGCCCATGAAGGATAGACTCACTCTTTTATTTTGCGCTAATGCAAGTGGCGACCTCAAAATCAAGCCACTTTTAGTCTACAACGCTGAAAATCCCCATGCCTTTAAGAGCAAAAATGTGATTAAGTCCAAAACTGCCTGTACAATGGAAGGCAAATAGTAAGGCATGGGTAACTCGGACTTTATTCATGGATTGGCTCACAGAAGTGTTTGCTCCTACTGTTAAAAATTATCTTCAGGAAATAGATCTTCCTCTTAGAAGTCTTCTCTTAATGGATAATGCTTCAGCACATCCACCAAATTTGGAGGACGACTTGGATAGTGAACATGACTTCATCAAGGTCAAATTCCTTCCACTCAACACAACTCCATTACTGCAACCAATGGATCAGCAAGTGATTTCCAATTTTAAAAAGCTGTATACCAAGGCACTGTTTACCATGTGCTTTCAGGTTACCAATGATACCGACTTGACTCTTAGAGCTTTTTGGAAGGAGCATTTTAACATCCTGCATTGTATCAACTTTATTGACAAAGCCTGGAGTGAGGTCTCTCACCATACTTTGCAATCGACCTAGAGGAAACTTTGGCCAACTTGTGTCCCAGAGCGAAACTTTCAGGAATTTGAAGAAGAGAGCTCTCCTGATGTAGTGCATGAAATCGTGTCCATTGGCAAGAGTTTGAGAGTAGAGGTAGATGATGTAGACGTGGAGAAGTTGCTGAAACACCATCAAAATGAACTAACGACAGAAGAGCTGGTTGCCATGCAGGAAGAACAGATGAAAGTCTTACAAGAAGAGCATTTGTCAGAGGAAGAGACTAGGGAAGAAATCACCAGTGCTGAGATCAAGGAAATTTGCAGAAAATGGAATGATGTGCAGGAATTTATCGAGAAGCGCCATCCTAACAAAGTTGTGGCTAATAGGGTCATTAATTTAATGAACGACACTGTGCTAGCGCATTTTAGAAAAATTTTGATTAAGAGAGTAAGACAATCAACTTTAGACCACTTTCTTGTTCCTTATCAAAAGAGACCTCAACTTGAAGAAACTCCCGATGCAGTGCTACCCGATATTTTTATGGAGGGGGATTCCTCTTCCAAGCATTAAGCTCTGTAGAAACAAAGGTATGTACTACTTTATTAAATAAAATTTACATATTTGTTGCTGTAATGATAGATACCACGTTTTCTTATATTTTCATCAAAGAAAACCCATTTTACAAATAAAATTACAAAAATACTGACGACTAGAATGGATTAATTGTATTCACATTAATTTCTATGGGAAAAATTGCTTCGGTTAACGAACGGACTCGTGGAACGGATTACATTTGTTAACCGGGGTTCCACTGTATATTATTTTTTTATATAGTAAAACCTATAAAAGGCAGAATTGCAGGGAATTCTACAAATTTTTTAGCTTAAGCAGGTTTTCTGTCTTGGCAGACCAGAACAAAAACATGGTCATTGCTTTAAATATGAACATATTTTTTAAAATCACATTCCAATCTAGACAAAGTATTTGCTATATTTATTGAAATAATTTCAAAACAAAAACAAAGGGACAAACAATAAATGAAACAACAACACAGAAAAGACATTTTTTTTAGCATGATAATGTCATACCAAACATCATTGCAAACCAGAAAAAAACATTATTATAATTTGATTTGATTTTATTCATCCATTTTAATCTGTAATATTTGAATTACCACTTTTCTGGTCTGTATAAATTTGAATAAATTGTAAAATACTCAACTTGAATGTAGTCAAAATACAATCAGGTTTTTTGTTTTTTTTTTTTTTTTTTTTTACAAAAAATAGGAATCTCTTATAGGATGAAATTCCATAATATCAACAATAAGCAATCAATGTAAAGGAATAAATAGGTTTTATAAGAAATTGACATTTTTTATAAAGCACTGTCAAGTACATTAAACATTTTAGTTAATATTCTAATTTTGTGTTTAATTATCCTATTTTTTTCAAGATTAGATTCATCATCATCAGATCTCTATGATAATTAAACACAAAATTAAAACATTAAAATATTTAATGTACTTGATAGTGCTTCATAAAAAATTGACAGTTTTTATAAATCACTGTCAAGTACTGAAACTAAAGTAACTAATAAGTTTGAACAATGTACAATACATTGTTCAAAAGCATAATTTATTTTTGCTTTTAATTGTAAATGCTTAAATTACTAGGAATGGTTACCATTACTATCCTTTATTATTTCCTTGAAAACTAGAAATCTTATATAACATAAGAAATTAAATTAAATTAANTCTCCTTCTTCTGTAATGCTATAAACATCACACTGATTAGGTTTCTCTTTATCGACAATTTCTTCCAACGGAATAGTAAAATTTTTCCATTTTTCAGTGGTAGTATTAGAACTGTTTAATGGTGTCGTGCACCAATAATTTATTTTCGGTGCCATAAAAGCCATTCCAAACATGTACCATTCGTTAGGAATGTTCATATATATTATAAGCATCATCAAGAACAACTGCCATTTACCCCAATGTCCAATGATATCTGTTATGTCTTCTTCCTTGTCGCTCTCACTGCAATATTAAGGTTTATGTAGACCTGTATTACTTAATATCAAGTTTATTCTCTAGAAATTCAATTACATTTAATTTTACATGTGAAAGAAATATAAATAGCATTACCTATTTATTTCCTTAGATGTATTTTTCATAATTAGAACTTATAGTTTATAAGCAACTTTGGGGGTATAATATGTTTTATATTATACCTTTCTTCTTGTTTAATCTCGCTTACTTTTAATAACTTTCTTCTGTTAACATAAAATAAAAAATTAAAATATTAAGAATTTTCTAAAAGTTTTAGTCATAAATCTATTATTTATTCAAGTATTGCGTTCTAAACACACTAATTTAATTTTGTATTAATATACATAACAATAACAAGCAAACAAAAAATTCGAATATAATGTACAGTATAGAAAACCTGTATGGTGTAATTATGGTGTAATTATTATATAGTATCTATTGATGTGATCTATATGTGTATCTATTGATCTATTATATAGTATCTATTGACTAATTACACCCTTATGGTGTAATTATTATATAGTATCTATTGATTATTAAAGAGTTTTATGTAATTGATATTACCCATATAATATGAGCGTGTTGTTTCTAAAATACTTTGAAATAATTCACAGAAATAAATAATTCTTAATGAAAAAACTAGAGTTGTCTCTAGTTCTTTAGTGAGCCCCATTTACCATGTTTTTATATGTTTTGTACAAATGAAATACTGTACGTAGAATATTTCTTTATTAATAATAAGCAATTGTAAACAATTTTGTGTTAATAAAAATAACATTAATTTATAATGGCAGGAATCACTCCAGCCTTAAATTTTCTGTGGGCTTGGGCAAAAAAAAAAATTGCAGCTCGATCCATTTCTGCGCTTTCGATCCGGCCCTGATGAGTGGTCCTTTCGTCCTCCTTTTCAGAGATTCCAATGATATTGTGGTTGAAGTCCAAAAAGTTCCCTTGGCTAAAGTCTGGACCACTACATATTTTTTTTCGTTGCAGCTAGGTTGGTTGGAACTGCTTATAGACCTTGCGCTGGTCGATTATAACCAATCCATGTTTTGTATAATGATTCACCCAAGTAACTTAATGCAAGTAACTTAAGCAATCTTCTCACTAAATGATACTCTGTTTTTATTCGAATTGCGAGGATGCTGATGCTTTAATGTCATACGTTTTTACAATAATTAAAATCGGATTGCATTGTTCTAACTTGTTCTGAGAACTTTTCTTTACACTCTGTTTTAATTATAATATTCAAACAATTTTATTAAACTTTTTTATTCGTATCGAATTATAACATCAGAATATTAACTGAACTGTGAAATATTAATTTTTAGTGAGAAATTAAATGTATTTATATTTAACTCGATATACTGATACATTTATCACTGAAAGAATGGCAAATAAAAATGTTTTTGTTTTAATAACCTGTTATCTAAGTATTATTAAATATTTAAATGCACAGAAAGAAATTTAGTTCATGGCTAAAATCAAAAGAATTGTTTACTGCATGAGCTGTTTTGCTCATGCAGTAAAATCAAAGTAACAAATAACCTCAAAAACACTCTAAGTATTATTAAATATTTTAATGCACAGAAAGAAATTTAGTTCATGGCTAAAATCAAAAGAATTGTTTACTGCATGAGCTGTTTTGCTCATGCAGTAACAATTCAAGGAATTTGTAATACTCAAGAAATCATTTTATGAAGATGAATTGGCCAAGCATGTTGAAAATACTGAATATATGTTTATGGACAGAGATCTTATGAAACCCGATAACTAAGATAATAAATGAAGATCCATTTTATATAAACTGTCCACTCCAAAATGTTTTAGTAATTTATTTCCAAGGAACTTCCTCAATTCTCTTCAGCTATATCAAAACTCATAACACTACACGATTAATTAGAGAAATTATACAGAAAACCTATGGACCAACAAAACTCTTAACTGTTATTTGAAAAAGCCAAGGCATTCAAGCTCCTTCATAAGGAAGATGGTTACAACTCTGAGTTTACTTATCAATGAAGATCAAAAGATGTACAAAATAATCATTTTTTTTTTTTTAAACATTCAAATTATGAAAGTGATAATAAAATGAAGGTAGTAAAATGAAAATTGTGAAGGTGATATTAAGACCATCATTTTTAGGAACAAGTTCAAAACAAAAATTAATTAAATAAAACTTAAATGTTACAGAAGAAATTCTGTACAAATTAAATATATAAAAGTATTATATAATCTGTAATTTTTCAGCCACCTATCAACAACTCTGCATTTGTTGACATTCAAAAGTTTAAAATGTTATTTTGGTCTGATGATGAGTGTTAAGCTTGAAAGTGCTTACCGATTTGTTTTTTTCTTCTAATTTGTGTAATTTTATTCCATTACAACAATTATAATTTATTAGTTTAAGCTAAGGTTTGGAGTTTTCTATACTCTCACTAATCCAAACCTGCACTAATTTGAATTCAGTTTAGTCTAAACCAATTTTATGCCTTTCTCAATTAAATATTCAACCAAAACAAAAATACAGTAATCATATAATTATTTTTTAAAAACACAAGGAATTTGTAAAACTAGTATTTACTATATATTTTAACATAAATATATATATTTGTCCAAATGCAAATTCAAGGGATGTGATGAAGTGCAATTGTTCCTCTGAGATTTTTTTTTTGCAAACAAGTTTTCATTATAAGTTACAGTTTTTGAATTTATTTATCTTATAAAATGAACATGATGGTACTAAACCTTTCTGCAGTAATTATTAAATGTGATTAATATTGTTTATTTTATTGCATAAATTAAAAATTAAATGAAGATTTGCTCCTAAATCTGCTGCTTATAATCTTTTTTGACTTCCATTTCTTTGTATGCATACAATAATTAATTTGGATTAGCAAGAGTGCATCTTTGTTTGTTTGTTTATGTGTATGTGCATACACACAGACAAACAAACATATTTATACAGACAAACCTGAATACACAATTTCAACATGAAAAACACTTATTTAATAATAATTTTGAAAAATTAAATAATATATACTTGTCCCATTTCTTCTGCTGAGGTTTCTCTATACTTTGGGGATTTAATATTAGCATAAGTCCACAATTTCCATTTGGTACCTTTCCATTTTTTAACAGGAGGCTCCTTCAAAGAAAAAAAGTCATCTGTTACTAATATAACACATAATAAAAAATTAATTTTTTAAATTACAAAATGCTTTAGACTATAAAATTTATTATTATAAAGTAAATACTTGTATATATAAGAATTAAATTAATGGAAAAGCTAATTATCTAAAAATCTATTCTCTAAAAGAATTTAGTAAAGTTTATAGGAGCATTGTGATCATTAAGTATTACTTATTAACATTTAATTTATCAAATGAGAAAATATCTGTATTTGAATTGTTTTCTATTCTCAAATGAAATTAACTACACATAGATTGACTTTTGCTGGAATATATTAATAAAATATATGCTATAATACGCTTCTTGTCTAGCCTTGATATATACTCGTGAGCACTATGTTGGCATCTTTATTCCTAGATTTATTACACCATCACTGGATACAAGATCAGCTATAAGTGATTTTCTAAGGCTGATCTTGTGTCCAGTGATGGTGTAATAAGTCTAGGAATGAAGAGGCCAACATAGTGCAAACAAGTTTTTTTAAAGTATATGCTGCTGAGTTTCTGTAAGTTCTCAAAACTGTTTCTATCACAAAAACTGTCATAATTATAATGATGCATCCTCACTTTACTTGTTTATTTGTGATTCATTTATTTACTCAATATCACTTTGAAATAAAATTAATCACGAATAAAAACATACTTTTAATATCATTCTAAAATCAAATATGATGGACTAGCTATTAGTATACTTGTATTCATTATTTTATAAATTAAATACTTTTTACTGACCTGATGATGATCTTGCGACATTAGCTTTCGAGTATCAACATTCTGTGATGTCTGTTCTTCATCAGAGGCACTTTCTGGTAAAATATGTTGTTCATCATCAGTTGAATATTCTCTTGATGGAACAGTTACTGGAATTTCATATTCTCTTTCAGATTTATTATTTTGTTTAAAAGCACTTTTATAAGACATTTGTAATTCTTTTGAAAAAACAGATTTTTCTAGTATTGTACTTTGAGAGATTTTATTTTCAGATTTTTCTGTAAATGAATCATTTGGACAAGTAGTATGAATAATCTTCTCACTGATAGTTTCTTTCTCATCACATTTTGCTTGTTTTGTTTTGATGTCACTTATATGATTAACAATTGTTGCAGCTTCCTAGAATAATATATACTTAATTAAACCATATTCTAAAAATTATTAATAAAAATAACTTTATTGTGTATATAACTGTAAATTAATCAGAAAAAGCTTAACAGTATTCATAAATCTAAAGTAAGATTTTAATAAAGAAAACATATAATACATAATGAAAATGTTACAGATACACTATTTTTAACATAGAGCTTTAATTTTCTCAGCAATTAAGTCACTTATCACAGTATAATGAGAATGACCCTAGATATACAAAAAGAATATCCCTACTATTTCTGTCAATGTTTGTCAGCACATTTGACATCTTTATCATATGTGAAACTGTGCTCTAACAAATGCTCCTTTAGGATAAGAAATAGATGGAAGTTATTGGAAGCCAAACTCAAATGAAGTTATATGCTAAATGTTCCAATTCCTTCCAGGGGAAATCTTCTATGTTTACTATACCATATATAATTGGAAATTGTTATGGCAGAAAATGATACTGCACTATTTGGCAATCTGTTGCTTTGACATCACAACATTGCCTTACATTTCAATGAGCTACTGACAGTTTTTTTTTATTAAATCCTACAACTCTTTGTACTTCTACAGGAGTACACTGTTCTAAGTAGGTTGCCATGATGAACTTCTGCAGCCTGCTTCTTGCTGTGAAAAATGGCAGTGCTTGGAGCAAGAAATACAGACAGTTGCCCAGAGCAACAAACTGCAAAGGATAACTTTTTGTTCTCTACTTAAACAAGACAATAAACTTTCTACACCTAATTCTGTAGTTTTAATGCAATATTTGTTTACTTTTGTGCATAATGTAACAATCAAAGCCAGATATTGCTATATAGCTTAATCTTTTTTAATAAAAAAATATTGTGTAAGCAAAAAGTTATGCTCCTTTATTTAATATGCTTATTATTATATTGTGTATTCATTTTCTCCAATTGAGGAGTGCCATGATGTCATCTTGCCTGGAGTACTTATAATGCTTAGTCTAGTCCTGGCTGTGACACCAACCATGTGACACTGAATGCTAGAGTCCTGTACCAAATATATCAGCAAGTGTTGCTGATATATTTGGATCCTCTTGATGATATCAATACTTGTTGTAATTAACCAATATTTTTGCTGATTTGATTTAATCACAATGATGCTTTCATTTTGATTAATAGGCTTGTAAACTTTTTTCTGATCAACCCTTACACATACATACTGTATTTATACACAAACTTAAGTATTCACAATAGAACCAAAGTTAAATATCTAACAATATACCAAATGACTCAGAATTTTTTAAGTAAAATTATTAAGTTAATTTTGACAAAAAATAGATTTATACTGTCACATTAAATAAATTTATTAATATATATTTTCATCTAAAAGTAAGAGATTGTTAAATAATTTAACATATTCCAATCTTTAGATAAAATTTATTTAATAATTAAAATCTTGGCATAATCTGACTTATAACTACATTATTCATTATAATCAAACATTCATTTAAACCAAGTAAATTAAATTACAGTATAAGTAATAAATCAAATGCTTTTGTGAAAGTAATATTTTAAGCTCTTTTCATTATTAAATATTTGGACAAGTTTTTAATGCTATTGTCCTTTCTGAAGTGTTTCTATTTTAGCAGAAATTACCTTGGTCCTAACAATTAAGTTACAGAAAATAAACTTTTAAAATATTTTTAAAAAATCTCTTAAAGTATATGTTAGTGCTAATGTTTGTACTGTTGTTTTTAAAGACCTGTCATTGTCTATTTGACAATTTCATAATTCCATCTTCAAAGAACTTTTCCATTTTTTGCAAGCCTCCAGATTTTTGAGGTTCTTACTAAAAAAGAAATTCTGCATTGACTGGAATAGGTGATAATCTAATGCTCAGGTTGGGTGGATATGATAAAACATCTCAGCCATATTCCAATAATTTTTTATTGTGTTTGCAAAGAGAGACAGTCTGGCATTGTCATGGTGAAACAACATTCTTCCTGTTGGCCAATACTGGATGTTTCTTGGATATTGCTTTCTTCAGTTGGTTTAGTTGACAGCAGTACTTATCAAAATTGATTGATTGGTTTTGTGGAAAAAGCTTATAGCAAATGTTTCCTTCCAGTTCCACCAGACACACAGCATGATCTTTATTGGATGAAGTCTTACCTTTGGAGTAATTTAGTTTGCTTCATGATTGTTTTTGGCTAACATTGTTATAGATAATCCACTTTATGTCAGTTGTTATCATTCATTTCAGAAATGTGTCATTTTCACTGCATTTAAATAATGAATCACAAACAAAGGTCTGATCCTAATAAGTTATTTCCGGTCAAATTATTTGGCATCCAAACATCACAGCAATTTACATGACCAAGTTTCTTTAAATAATCAAATACTGTACTTTTTAACGAGTTTACAATTTCTGCTATTTCTCGTATTATTTAACAAGGATTATTTTCAATTAAAGTTTTAATCCAGCCATCTTTAATGATGCCAGGTCTTCCCAAGCAGAAGTGTGTTCCTGGTTAAAATTGCCTGTTCTGAATTTAGCAAACTATTTGTAAACTGTTGAGATGGCAACAGCACATATTTCATTTTTTATTTGTACTGCATTCTTGCTTTTCCAGAAAAAATATCACATGTCAAGAATGCACCTTGTTTACTTCCATTTTAATAAAGATGCAAATTAAATGTAATTTTAAAAAATCCTAATAAAATTTTTTTGTAATGGTCATGTCTCAATCTCAAATGCCTAAATATCTTACTTTTAACAGTTTTGACATCTTCCAGCATGTTCAATTGTCATCTATTCAAATTCACAATGAACATTCAGGACAACCCAATACTTTATTTGATAATTTTCATAATATTAACATCCAATGGAAAAAGAAAGATGGTAAAAAACGAAATATTTGAAAATACTTTCTAAATCGCATATCAAGTGCCATATTTCAATGGCTGCTCTAGAGATATGAAATATAATGGTCGGGCAAGTTATGTAAAGATTTTATTTCCATTCTAGAAATTTTTTGCAGGGTATATGCTGTTGTAGGTTATACACATAAAAGTATAACCTACAACATAGGTTATACTTTTATGTGTAATACTTTTAATATATACGAAAAAAAATCATTATTTTTATTTTTAATACAGTAATTCCTCCATCTATGTGAGTAATTGGTTTAATGGCACATAAACGGAGTAATGGAAAATTATTTAAAATAGGATCTGTTCCATATTCTCAAATACAGTTTTGTTTACTTTTGTGCATAATGTAACAATCAAAGCCAGATATTGCTATATAGCTTAATCTTTTTTAATAAAAAAATATTGTGNAAAGGATTTTTTTTTTTTTTAAATATATATCTATGTAAAAGGTTCCTGAAAACATAAAACACATTTTTTGTAGTAACCATTATTTATTTCCATAAAGTTGATTATTTAAAATTAAAAAAAATTTAAACTGAACTAAAATATATTTGCATAAACAGAGACTGTATAAATGCAGGGATTACAGCAGTTTCATTTTACATTTTATTAGTTTTCATTTCATTTTTTTGAAAGTATTTTAGATAAATTTTTCAGGCTTAAAAACATTCAAATCATTTACTAAAAGATTTCTAAAAATTTGAAATAAAATAATAATAAAATTAAAAATGACATCAATTAAAATAATTTTAAAAATTAATTGCAAAATTATAAATTAAATAAATGCATTTACTATTTTGACTGTAATAAAATATACATTATTGAAAAAAAAAAATTATTTATTGGCGTTGAAGGCTTTCGCCTGTTACAAGGGCGTTTTAAATACTCATATTAACATCTCATATAATATTATTTTAACAACTTTGATTTTTTCTATTTATTAACCTATAGAATTATTGTGATAATATATATTGTGATAAATTATATTAATAATTTATCACAATTATCATTTAATTAATTGTTTAGCGTAGTTATATAACATATAAATCGTGTTTACATTAGCTCTATCAAATGTCTTATATATTTCCAACTCACTAGTACATAAAATATACATTATTATACTTTTTTCTATACAAAAATTTTAATAAATTTTTTATATTTATACCTTTTCTGATGACGAAGTAGAACGATGAGTTAATGCAAACTGCATGTAACAATTTGTACTGCAAAATATAACTTCATCCTCCTCCTATAAAACATATTTAAAAAAATGTTATATATAATATATAAAAGATTGATATATGATAAAAAAAGCAAATGTATCATGAATATATATATAAATAAAAAAAAAACTGGAATGGTCATCACATAACTTTTTCTGCATGAAAATAAAATATAATAAACTATTTGACAAAAAATTTGCACACCCAGATAGAATTGCCCAATTGTTCATACATAAATGTATGCAAGCTTTTTTTCTAAGCCTGCATACATTTATGTCTCAAAGGAATATATAAATGATTACAGTTGATCTGAGTAAGGCATGCCAGATATCAGCAGTGTGCCTTAAATTCACTATCCCAGTACAATATAAAAAGATTTAGAGACTTGATGTATTCAATATTTTCAGTGTATCTTTTGTTTAAAAAGCCTTGAACATCAGACATATCTCTATAATATGTTCAAATGCAGTAAACAACTCACTCAGTTTAAGAGCCCTTCCATCATTAGGCTGAAGAAAGCAAAGTGATTATTTTGCCTAATTGGCAACCATCTTGAACAATCAGGCTTCATATCATTTAGTGAATAATCTTGCTTCTGTTTAGCAACAGAAGCAAGATTATTCAAGATAACCATCATATTTGAGTATGGAAAAGGAAATGGGGACAATCAGAATCTCAACTTCATTGTTGATCATCACATTGGCACCACTAATGTCATGATGTGGAAAACCATCACCTTTCTGACAGTCTCATTACCAGTGATCAAGGAGATGCTGTTTGCTAATCATTATATTCAAAAGATTCTGCAATCTTATGCGTGTCTTCCATGGCACATCTGCAACAGACCGATTTTCAACAGAATTATGTCCAACATACAACTCAGATTTTCTAGAAGTATCTCTGTAAGGTTGACACTCTTCCTTGACCCACCCTGTCATCAGAATTGTTTGTCAATAGATCATGTGTAAGAGATTTTGGAACAACAACTACAGCCATCAATCTGTGTGCAGAATCTGGAGAAACAACTATAAAATCTGGAAGTAAAGAATCAGTCCCTAATTATTAATACTAGCCATATTATTTCAATATAATCTAGCAGATTATTTGACTTTAAGCTACAAAATCTTTGAAAAAAAATCTATTACAAGACTGCGTAAGCTAGCCTTGACCTGATACCAGACTATCTCTGCATGCATACATGCAAGAGGGGTACTACAAAATACTAATTGTACTAGTAAACTGCATAATTATTTCTAATTAAACAGTATGATTGCCATAATATTGTAATTAGTTACTTACAACCTCATTATTATTACAGATGTGAAATTTCATTCAATTTCAATATCTACTTCTTGAGATACAATTTTTTTTGGTCAAAAAATGCAAGACCATGCACACAGAAAGTTTAATCCCATTCAAACAGAAATGTTACTACATCAATAAGACAGTATATTGTATATAAAATATTTATTTTGTATCTGTTCAGTTCTTTCTTAGTCTACTGTATTGTTTACTCTATATACCTATATTGTAACAATTAATAAACTATGTTTATGAAAAAAATTTTTCTCTTTTAAACCCACCACCTTAAAAATCCTGCACACAGACCTAAAAGAATCTATATATGCACATAAAATGTAGTGCATTATAACTAATTTTTTACAAAACGAAAACAACTTCGTTCAGTTCTTTCTTAGTCTACTGTATTGTTTACTCTATATACCTATATTGTAACAATTAATAAACTATGTTATGAAAAAAATTTTTCTCTTTTAAACCCACCACCTTAAAAATCCTGCACACAGACCTAAAAGAATCTATATATGCACATAAAATGTAGTGCATTATAACTAATTTTTTACAAAACGAAAACAACTTCTTCCAGATTTCAGTTTATAATTTAGTATCTACAATTTACAATGTATAATGAGTCATGAAAAATTTTAATTCATATACAACATATTCAAATAAAAAAATATCCTACTTTTTGCTTATGTTTGTTGCATACTTTCAGAACACAGAACTGAAACAGGAGACAAAATAAAATTTTACAAAAATAAAATATAGACTAATTCTTTTACATTTAAAACAAAATCCAAAAATTCAAGGTATATAATTAATAAATAAAATAATAAAAAGTTCAAACAAATGAATGAAATAAAAATAATTTTTTGAAAATTGTTATGCTAATTATTTACATCTCTCTAACTAAACAAAATTAAAATATCATGTAATTTATTTAAACTATACTATTATATAACTTACCATATCTTCTCTTGAAGATAAAAGTAAATCTGAGGCTTTCTTCCTTATTCCAGATGTTAGAACAACAATATCACAATGACGACAAAATCTTGGTTTTCCATTCAGTAATGTTTGAATATTTACATCTGTATCTTTAGCTAATGGGAATACGCAAAAAATAATTAATCATTTTCTGTTTCCATTATTTTCAAAAATAATTTATGAACAATTTAATTATTCACTATCCTCAAAATATTCAAATTTTTAGAAAAATTAATTATTTTTAAAGCAATTCCTTTATTGAATAATTATGATGATAATTATGACTTATTGTTGATTTACAAAAAAAATTATACATTTAGATAAAATTGCCCAATTACTACAAAACTTAACATACAGCTATGTCTCAGACAGATATTTGAATGATTACAGTCCTGGTCTGATTGCATACCAGGTAATGCCATCAAAGTGCCTTCAAATCATTACCAAAAGCATATAGAAAGGCTTGCAGATGCTCACTGTGTTAAGAATTTTCAGTGTATCTATTATTTGAATTCTTCAAACATGCCTGACAGTATGACACAGTCAAAGATCCTACATGCACAGCTAATGGAATTTGAAAAAGGCCACATCATAAAAACTTAGAAAAGTATGATTAACATTTCATCAGACTACCCATCATCTGGGCCATTTTGATCTGACTTTGGGCAGGTTTTGGGTCAGTAGATATGTGAAGGAATGCATACATGATGAGCAAGCTTTAGACACTTCAGACAATCAGGAAAAATGATTACTTGTTCATGAAACAAACACAAATAGCAGCAATATCATCTTTGTCCATCATCTAGAGAAAGATAGAAGCCTCACTAAAGAACTCTCTCTCTCTTCCTGTACCATTGGAGGGTAACTAGCAACAGTGGTTAATTTGCATATAAAGCAGCTATGCATCCTACCAATAGTATTCCAGTATCATTAGCTTTGTTTGGTGCTGTGACAGAAAAGCATGGGCTACTATAGTGAGGTAACATATTACTTTTAGTGACAAATTGCGGTTCTGTTTGGGAATGGAAGACCATTATGTTAGTGTAAAGAAATGGCTTGGTGAGTGTTTCAATCATGCTTTTACTGTTGAGCAGAATACAACCCCCTCTACTGGATATCCTAGTCTAGGAAGCCATTTTATATGACAATTGATCATTCTTAGTATTGGTATAAAGAATATTGACATCATAGCAGTATGTTCTGGAAATCCTGTACCCTTGTGTATTGCTTTTCGTGGCAGAGCTGCAATCAACATTTTCTAGAAAGATAATGCTTAACTAATAGCCAGAGTTTCTCAGAAATATTTTCATCATGTTACCACACTTCCTTGATTGTCGTCTTCAGACTTATTGCCTATTGAGCATTTGTTGGATCAGGTGAGATTTTAGCATAGGCCATCTATAAATATGAGAAATCTGGAATGACAGCTACATCTATTGGCTAATCTGTTGCAGAATAGTGTGACAGGGCCAGAATGACGCTATTTTTGACTGTATCACTGCATGTATGCAGGCAAGAGGTTGTAGAAGATACTAAAGGCTCCTTAAATTGAACCACTGTTTCACAGGAAATTGTCCCTTTGCTACAGTATGATATTGCAATCACTTATTACCATTGTCATTATATTAGCACTAAGAAAATTTCATTTGATTCCAAAGCCTCCTCCTTGGTATGTAACTTTTTTGCCAATGAGTACATTATACTGTATTTACATTGCTTTATATTATTGTTTACGTTCAATAACCTAAAAAAACTTATGTTAGTGTAAATCTTTAAGTTCTTTTGAAATTTATATTCATTTTTTATTTTTTTTATAAACAATTTCAAAGTATTTGAATCTAATTACTTGAATCTATTTGTTTGAATCTAATTACTTGTGTAAGAACGCCGATTGGGGGGGAGATTTTTATTCCCTACCGTCGGGATGGTCTAAGGTCTTAGCGTATGTGGGTGGCGGTTTTTAAAGGCAGCAAAGACAAGTGTTTACAAAGGTAAACCGTTTATTCCGGACGATAATGCTTACATAATTTTTGTTGGCAAAGGTCCTAGTCTTGCGTTGTTGAGAATTTCGGCGATGATCCGGTGCGTCGTCGTAGGGGCCCCTGGACAGTGTTGAGGAGAAAAAAAAGTTTGATGTCTCGAAAGTCGATGCACGAAAGATGAAGATACACGAATACAACAGAAGTATAGGTGGAAGTCTTGGTGGAAGTAGAAATCAAGTAAAAAAGTCTCGCTGTCCTTGAATTTTGCGTTTTTATAGGATTTTTGCGATCGACTCCTTGTCAATTGGATAGATCTTACATCACCGTTTTCCAATTGGCCATCCACCTGTCTCCAGGTGTAAATGGAGCTTCGTTAAGTTCGTGGAAAAGGTCGGCTGGAGATGGTTTATCCGACACCATCTTTTCGTCCGATCGCGTTTAATTGTTGACTATGACACCTTCGCTCATCTAGTCATTTTTTTATCTAGTTTCGTTTTGCTTTCTAAACTGCGTCTTAACTTTTAATATTTTACATTTTCTTCTTTTTACATCTAAAATTTGGTTTTTCGGTCAACTTTTGATGAGCGTCGACGTCAAAGTCGGGTGTCGCCGATTCGACACTTATATATTTACTTTCCTGACGATTTAACATAACAAATTTTTACATATCTTCCCTTTTTGGGGGAGGGCTATTTCCAGGGCTTCACACTTGCTTTTATAAAATCTGATAGAAATAATAAACAATTGTTAAAACAATGTGTTTTAATTCCTGCATATTTAAAATTTTAATGATTTAAATTATTTCATCAATGGAAATGATGAGTATAAAGTTTATAGAAAATTAAAAACTAATTTCACAAATGATACTATTCAAGAACTATTTATTACATATTTTGAAGTTTTGTTTAAAGAGTAGATATAATCTCTAATATTCCCTCCTCGCTATACACCTATCTTTGTTTAAGCTATTATTGTGTTTACGAGAATGCATTAAAAAATTATTGAAAATACTCTATAAAAACATTCACTATTTTTGTCATTTAAATCTGTATAACAAATTCCTCTACATTATCAAAACAGAAAAGTTTATTATACAGCTAAATGAGAGTTTTATGAGTTAAAATATATAATTACCAGCATACTTAATTAAATTCTCAATAAGTGAGAGAGAATATTCCATTTTCCTAACAAAAATTTATATCTATAAATTAAAAAAAATTTACAATATAATGTTAATGTTACTTTTCAATTATTATAAATTTTACAAAGATAAGAAAGTATAAATGAATACAAAAAAAGAATTCCTGAGAAAATATCAAGTGATATTTATCAGGGAGTATAAGAATAGAAGAGATTTAAAGGATGCTTAGTGAATGCAACAGAGGAAATATATGCAAATAGGACTTCTAGTCTGCATACAGAAAAGAAAAACTCTGGTGGAACAATGTTGAGGGAGGAGTTAAGAAAGTCAGAAGACTTGCAACACAATCATAAGGACAAAAATTTTTTCTACTCTCAAACTATACGGCATATTTCTGTTGAATACTTATTCTTTGACAAACTATTTTACCGTATTTACTTGCATATAAGATGAGGTTTTATTCATCTATCACAGCTTAAAATTCCTAGATCGTCCTATGCGCAAGCGAAAAAGATTCTTTGCGTTTTTGCAAATCATTTTCGTAAACCGTGTATTCACATTTTTTACCAGATGCCCACCCTCATGTATAAAAACAAAAGTATTTTATAAGGGCCATTTGAATTGTTCTTCTATATTGTCAGGAGTAAAGACGAATAGCAATAGGAAAAGCAAAGCTTTTGAATTGATTTCCAGATTGAAATTCCAAAATCACACAGGAGCCCAATATAAGTTTTAATCTATTTCCATGTGAAAACAGATGATTATTCGAAAATCAGAATTCAGAGAAACTCATAAGTGTAATCAACGGAGAGTGGATTCAACTATTAAGAATTGGCAAAAAAAAAAAAAAGGTTCCCAATCGTCCAGCTTTACGTGAACAAATTATGTTGTTGATTTTACAGGATTTTTCCTTAAAGTTTAAAAGGCCAGTAATTTTTGTGGACAATGTATGCATTTGTCCTATATGCAAGGTCATCTTATATAAGAGGAAATATGAAATATGGTATTTTATCTTATTTATAATAAATTTATTTCTCAATTCCACCGACTGTTCTGAATCTTGTTAACTATATTATATTCATCAGGATAGAATCTATCACAAACAGGAAAGTAAAATCATCACTACAGTGATGATCTTGCTTTCATGTCTGTGATAGATTCTTACTGGCCATCTTATTGCTTGCTCTTTTCTTAAACCAATTATTTCCAATTTTCAAATGATGTCTTTTGCAAAGATCCAATTCTAACAGCCTTCTATCCTCATTTTTACCATTCCATCCATTCAGTTCCAATTCTTCAGGATCTTTTCTCTCTGTATCTCCTCGTCGATTGAAATTCCTTAACATAATCATACACTCTCTGCTGTTTCTTCAAAATTCTTTTCTTCTATTTTATAATCAGTTTGGAAAATGTAAACTTGCACAATTTTTATTCTTTATATTCTCATTTCTGTGCATATATTGATAATTTTATCATTAACAAAGCTGCACTTAAATTTATTATCTAATTTATTTCATACAATAAATCTTACTCCTTTTCTTTCTTTTATTCCTTCCTTTTCAGTAAAATATGTATTCTTTTCTTTCTTCTTTCTTTCCATTTTCCTTCTTTTTAATCATTGAATTATTTAATAATTCCATTTAAATCTATCTAATATATAAATCATTTTCTCCTCTTGGGACATTCATTAAGTATTCATAAATTGTTCTTATCCTAAGCCTTAGTTCATCACCTTTAACTATCCAATTAATTCTTTTCATACACGGAATATGATTTATCTTCAACAGTCAGATTATCAAGTTTGTAGCTGCCTACATATGTGCAGAGAGGTGATTTAATGTGTCAAAAGTAATCCCAGTTTGGAAGTTTTCTCCTCCAAAACTTCACTCTATAACGATTCACTGAATATATTCAATCCATAAAATAATACAATAGCTATTAACCATTAAGATATATTGCATGTAGCACACTAATGACAAATGTTAAAATCTTGTTTTATAATGTACTCATAGTTTAATTTCATCAATAAATCAGTTGTATCATTAAGCAAATACATCAACAAACTATCTAATTTCTTTAATTTATAAGATGATCTATTTTTATTATATTTAATTTTTATTTTTAAAAGTTTATTTAATGTTTAAATCACTATTAAAAAACAACTCAAATAATTAAATGATAAAAAATAACAAAAATTTTTAGCTGTATAAAAATTTATTAAACTAATTCAAATTTGCTAATTTTTATATTTTTAAAAGCTAGTGCTATACAAATTATTTAATGTCATTACCATACTTATAATTGGAAATGATTAATTTTTATTTGATAATTTTTATATTTTTATTTTGTGAACAGGTTTATTCCATTGGTATGTTGTCATAATTAACTATCAATAATACTTAAAATTTAGTATTATTTTTAGTCATAATAAATGTATTTTTATATATATGTAAAATACATCTACAATATATTTATAATGACTCTTATTCTAAAAATAATGTTGGATTTAAAATCACTGATAAGTAATTTAATACACATATATATATTCATGTATGTACGTACAGTCAACCCCCCTATAACACGGGTTCCTATAGTTCGAATTCCTATATGACGGTGAAAAAATTGCGATGGTATCAGTACAAACATGGTAAAAAAACTCCTATAATTTGGTAAAACATCATAAGGCAGCCAAACTACTTTATGCCATCCAGCGCCACGCTACGGAGAGTTTAGGCGAGTAAGTTGAGTTTACTATCGTCTGTACAGTATGTAAATAGGTACCGTAAGTCTAATACAGCATTAATTTTATACATTTCTTGTGAAAGTAACATTTCTTATTCAACGGCCATAAAAATTATTTCTATTAATGATGTCTCCAAAGTTCAACGAAGTTTTCGCAGAAAAATAACTCATCAGAAATCACGCCCACCATTTGCTGCGCTGCTCCGCGACGAAAACAAGCTTAAACAATGGCAATGTTGAATGGTGCACACTCGGTAAGTAATCCTACAATTTTTTGTTTATAGCATAGTTTATACGGATTATTCCCAAAAAAATATACGTATTTTGGAAATGTTGAGTCAAATTAGTCTAGGAATCGATTAATTTTATGGAAGAAAACCTTTCAAACAGCCATAGTCCGTAAAGTGCATACGTGCCGGACTGTGATTGGCAAGGACTCGTACAAAATGGATTCATAAAGAATGGAACGTATCTACCGTGTTATAGGGGGGTCAACTGTATATAATCATTGATGAATTCAATAATATACATAAGTATCAAATTGATAAGTACTTAATAGAAATAAAAAATTACTATATTATGATATTAAATAAAAATTGCTAAAACAATGGAAATACAGTAGAGCATCGTTTATCCGAAAGTCGGTTATCCAAAAGAATTCCAGTTGGCCTAAAGTATAATTTTTATTTGGTTTTATATTTTTCAATGTATATATTTCGTTTGTAAAACATAAAGAAATCATTTTTAACGATACAATAGCCACGATTATTATTTTTAAAAGTTTACGTTAGGCTTAACATTGACGAAAATTCAACGCGAAGCAACACGCAACGGAGAAAAATTTGAACACGAAATAGGTTAATATATTTTTTCGTACATAATTGGTTATCCGAAAAATAAGTTATCTGAACAACCCCAGTCCCCAATTGATTCGGATAAACGATGCTCTACTGTAAATCTGTTTATGTTTACCCAGATATTTTTGTTGGAAAGCAAAAATCATGACTAAAAAAACATTTTAAATTACTGTTTTTTCATATATATGGACAGAAAGATACTTCTCTCATTTCAAGTACAAAAAACAAATATATCTTACTGTGTTCAAAGAAATAGATGCTAAAAACATGGTAAATAATATGCTTATATTTGAAAATTTTGTAAAAAAAGATTTACATGTAATAATTATAAAGTTTTCAACAGACTTTGTATGTTCAATATTTGTATGTTCAAAATTCAATACTCACATTTTTTATATAATCCAAGTTTTTGACTAGGTGGAGTAGCAGTTCTTTCAACTATTTCATATGAAGAAGGAGGTGATATTTTCAAAAGATTAGCCAGAGCAGAAAGAACACCTCCAATATCTTCAGCAGCAGCAGATGATAAAGTAAGTGTTACTGCTACATTTCCTGAATCTTTTAATGGAGCAGGATGACCACCTAATCCCACCATTTTCACTTTAAATGGCAATATATTTGATTTTTTGTCAGTAATTTGAACATTTTCTTTATCCTGGGAAAAAAATTGATTTGTAAGTTATATTAGTGTTTTTTATTTAATGTTTAATTATTTTCTATTTTCTTCTTAATAGCCTAATGTAATCTTATAACAAAATTAACAGTATTCAAAATTTCAGTATTCTACTTCTAGTAGCAAATTACTTAGCATTAATCATTAAAATCGTGAATTTATAGCCAGATTATTTAAGAAGATTGGTTATCTATGTATGTATATATCGAGCTTCAGAGTATTTGATATACAATATAAATGCTTCCATCACTATCATAATTTTAGAATCTTGGGATAAAAATTATTAATTTTAATCCACTCTCCTTCCTCATAGATGTTTCGACATGAAAAGTTATTATATCACTGATTAACTAAATTTATTTTTAATGAGCAAGTGAATAAACAGCATATGAATTTTTTAATATATTCCTTAAATGCTAAACTGTTTTAAAAATTAAACTTTAATGTCTTAGAATCTAGTGTAATGCTGTTCAGAAAAAGTTTCTTATTAAATTTTTTTTTTGTCAGATAAACTAAATGTATTACTGATTTTGCAATACTCTTACAGAATTACTTTTATTATGACATTATAGCAGAAAGTTTACTAATTAATTTACAGTAAATTATTAAAGTTTTCTTTTTTAATTGTTCAATATTAAGTTGATTCTGCTATATATCTAATTGAAAACAGTTTCATGCACAACATTAAATTTAAAAAAGCCAATATTTTTTTCTAAAATGAAGCTTTATTGTAATAATTATAATTCAATAATAGAACTATAAAAGTAATGAAATTTCTATTCAAAATGAAGGGCAGGTACATATTACTTCCATTAAAATTAATAATTTTGTTAAAATTGGGTTAATATTGTTAAATTTTTAAAAAAAGCTTGTTACACTTCTTTGTTTCATTTGTATGACTATTTTTTTAAAAAGTTTTTAATTAATATAAACATAAAGTATTAAATGAAGTTCAATAATTAATACTCTGAAGAAAAGCCAATACATATTTGCATTCCAATTCAAACTAAAATTTTGTTCTTACATTTCTGAAAGTAAAATTAAAATTATTGCAAAATTGTTAATAATTTAAAAAATATATTAAGTTTTTAAATTTAATTGTTAAAATTTGTTTCATTTTATAAATATTGAATTTTTATCATAGAACCNGGGCTATCAACAGCGAAATAAGAAAGATATTGTATTTCGAGAGACGATGACATCTGTCTATTATTATAATAATACCTAACGATAAAATAAATGATTTAGAAAAAGTTTTTCTTGTGTAACTGCTTTCCCTATGACTTTTTCTGATTTAAAAAAAAGCCAATTTTTATGTTTATAAAATATTTTGAATGAAAAATATTAAAATATGTACAAAATAAACCATTTTGAACACTCTTTTTTATTATTTATAAAAAAAATATAGTTCGGGCATAAACAATGTTAAATTTTAACTGACTTAATTTTGCGAACACAACTTTTTTATTTATATAAGTATCTTAAGGTCAGTTTTTTTGCGCTAATGTTGCTAATGCACCATTTGAGCGAAAAAAAAATTGTTAAGGAAAAATTTTCTGTTAGCGAACCCTTAGTTAAATATTTCGAATATCACCACTGGTCACAACAGTAGACCCCCCTATAATACTGTTGATAATTCCGTGTTACGTGAATTCCATGTTGTATGAATCACTTAGATTTTGCAAATACAGTGGTACCTTGGTATACGTCTGCATTAGAATACGTCCAATTCGGAATACGTCCTGTTTGGATGAAACATATTTTGCTTGGTATACAACTTAATTCAATTATACGTGCCATCTATGAACAAGTTGCACTATCGATGTATTAGACCAGACTAGACATTCGCGGCACCACAGTTTATAACTTTGTTAAATTTATTCTGATTTTAATTTTTAAGNTTTTCTTTTTTAATTGTTCAATATTAAGTTGATTCTGCTATATATCTAATTGAAAACAGTTTCATGCACAACATTAAATTTAAAAAAGCCAATATTTTTTTCTAAAATGAAGCTTTATTGTAATAATTATAATTCAATAATAGAACTATAAAAGTAATGAAATTTCTATTCAAAATGAAGGGCAGGTACATATTACTTCCATTAAAATTAATAATTTTGTTAAAATTGGGTTAATATTGTTAAATTTTTAAAAAAAGCTTGTTACACTTCTTTGTTTCATTTGTATGACTATTTTTTTAAAAAGTTTTTAATTAATATAAACATAAAGTATTAAATGAAGTTCAATAATTAATACTCTGAAGAAAAGCCAATACATATTTGCATTCCAATTCAAACTAAAATTTTGTTCTTACATTTCTGAAAGTAAAATTAAAATTATTGCAAAATTGTTAATAATTTAAAAAATATATTAAGTTTTTAAATTTAATTGTTAAAATTTGTTTCATTTTATAAATACTGAATTTTTATCATAGAACCTATGAATAGTTTATAGTAAACATTTAATATTACTGATTATTAATGCCAAACAAACAGCTGAATTATTAATTGGGCCAAATTTTCTAAATCAGCCTTACTAGAGAGATTGCGGCCAAAGTTCAAACGTTAAACTTGTATGGCAAGCAGAAGTACACATTTGATGTTTGAACTCCAAGTAAAACATGCTGCCCTACACATTTACATCATGCACTGACTTATGGGATATTGCTGAAAAACGACGAAAACGTTTAACAACGACAAATGCTACTAGCGAAGGTAAATAAATATTTTAAATTACTTATAGGATGTTTAATAACACTAAATAATTATTTTTAATTAACATCTTGTCTCCTACCGTACGATAGGACTACCTCATACTTTTGTTGAAGGAAGTTGTGGTTGATGTAAATCCAAAAGCAGCTCAGATAATTATTTTTAGAAAATTTAAAAACGTATCATGCTGTTGATGGTAGAAGATGCTGTGAAAGAACAAACCTACTCCTACAGAATTATGATAAGCTATTATGAACAAAAATATATATATAAATTCTATAGGCACTTCACATCACTTGCAAAAAAATTGAATAATTAAATAATTTCTGGATTAAAATCATCTGTTTCTTTACAATATTATTCATAAATGCTTAAATAATCATTATTTTAATAAAATATATCATAATTTTAACTCAAACACAAAAAAATGAAGAACTTCTATTTGCCATGATAGACATAGCGAACGCCATTGTCAACCTTCTAGAATTGCCAGATGGCAGTGCTCGATGTCCAATGTTCACGTTTTGGGCTGAAAATGTCAGCTGCAACCTCTACTCTAAATTTAAAATCAAAAAATTAAATTTATTTATAATTATTAAATTTATCATAAGATGACAGCCTAACTAACTATCTAAAGCCAAATTGCTTTACATCTAATCATTAATTAAATTAGCTTTATTTAGCCCAATTTATAATATGGCAGTTAGTTTGGTATTAATAATTGAGTTAGGTTTTTGTATATGTGTTATATATTACTGATTATGTTTTTTATAATTTTATTTTGTAATGATTTTAGCAGCACACGAGAAAATAATTTGTATTCTTAGCATATATAGTTCAATTATTTTATCAAAATATTTAAGAATATTTGTTTTATATATATAATATATATAAAACAAATATTCTTAAATATTTTGAAAAAATAATTGAACTATATACGCTATATATATATGTATTTATTTATTCTTAGTAGTAGTATTAGTAGTAGTATACTAAAATAAAATACAGTGGGTGATTGGTTAATGAACATAATCCGTTCCAAGACTTTGTTTGCTATCCAAATTGTTCATTAACTGATTATCGATTTACCATAGATTTTTATGGGAATTTGATTAATTCGTTCTGGAGACCCCCAAAAATAAAAAATATATATTTTCTTACTACATTTATTTATTTGTAATAATAAAAATACATATATACACAGTCTTGCATTCTTATTAGTCATGTTTTTTCCATTTATGGGGGTTAAAGAATCTGTCTAATGTCAATTGCTTTTTCTCTCTTCAAGATTTTTCAGAAATAATTAATGAGTAATAATTAATTGTAATTGTAGAGATCCCTAAGCCTATTAACCTCAATCTAGTTTAAATGCCATTCTAAGACCGTTGTTCTGACATCACCCCACTTCAAATAAATGTTTAATAGCAGATATTGATATTAATTCTCTTTTTCAGAAAAAAACATATCTTGGCAAGTTTCTTGGTGTTCTTGGCGTTTTTCTGTCATCAAATTAGTTTCAGGTTCCATTATGAGCTCATCAATATTCCTTATTTCTCAAATGTGATTTTTATTACTTCTTAAGCTGCTCGAGTCTTCTGGATTATACTGTATCTTTCTTAGATAAGATTGAACTGCGGCCTACTGTAGACCTGTTTGAGCCACACTGCCCAGCAACAACAGACATCTGCCCAGTCTCACCTTTCGAAAATAAAAACTGACACAAAACTTAACATGTGCCTGCCTGATAGTCTCACGAATACTATAAAAAGTTGTTTCTGTCAGAAAAATACAAGGCTGGAATTACAAGGGAGAGTTTCAAAGTTCAGATTAATACTATTCGATCAGTATATACAGAGTTGAGCATTGATGCCGATATCTCCAGCACTCCAAAAAGTTTCGAATTGTTGTCTGAAGACAAGGGAAGATCAATTGGTATTCATTATTTTACGTTGCTTCTTCTTGTGTTTGTTCTGTGAGATGTTTGTTATCCGATCATGTGTTTGTTGTCCGAATGTAAAAATCTTTCGTGAAAGTGTTTGTTATCCGATCACCCACTGTACATAACTGAAAAATTTTAATCAAATATTTTTGTATATTATTTAACATTCAACAATTTCAATTACAGGAAAGTATTTAGGGATAATCATGAGTTTTCTTGCTTTCAGAACAGCTGAATCCAACAAAAGCTGTAAACTATAATAACTATGCATGTAAAAGGAATGATTTCAATAAAACAGTAGTGACATATAATATAACTAATGCCAAATGACAAAAAGTAGTAATTGACTGCAATTGAATAATTTCAACAACAGAATGAAAGGAATTTATCTCATCTTCACTAAAATTTAACACAGTAACACAGCTGCTAAGTAATTATTATTTGAAGAGTTATCAAAAAATTATTAATTAATAAACATTTAATACTAATTGTTGCTGTATGAAATAGTCACAACCAGTGGNAGCAGGCCTCTCGCGCATCATTGGTTTACGCGGAAAAAAAAAGGTCCGATACTTTTTGAACAGACTTTGTATTTGTCTTTCAACTCAAATGTTTTCTGTCATTTTGGAAGTTACAAATACAATGATTGGTCCTTCTGTTGAAAGATTTTGATAATTGGCAAAATTGCTCCAAGCCAACTTTCTGTTAAGCCAATTTGCTAAGAACATTTACTAATGAAAACGAAATTGAAAAAAGTGACACATTTTGGATTTTTAAGTTGTAAAAGTAGATGTAATGAGTAAAACGCCATATCATGAATACCTAAATTATGTATGTGCTTCCATTTTATTCCCAATGACATAGATTATAAACAAGTAAAACGGCAAAACCGTATTTGGGACAACACTATGTCTCAGAGACTCGCTACTAAGCAGAATCACTTTGACGCTCAAGGCAGGTCTCGTTCTCATTCTCTAATCTTCTTTGGTATTGCTGCTTTTGGGTGCGACTGTTCAAACTTTGCTAGCCACGACCACGATGCATTTTCGTTGAAATTAACCCATCCAATTTTAAAATTTCTCTCCATTGTGTGTCAGTCTGAGTTGAATTTTTGTCAATGCATAATGAAAATTTCTCGTTTTTGAAAAAAATAATTGTCGCTATTGTATTGTCCAAAATTATTTTTCTATTTTGCACAAACAATATACAGTTTAACCTGATTATAACATCATTGGATGTAATGACAACCCTAATATAACGTCAAATTTTTATCAGTCTCATGATTTTACTATACTAGATAATGTTAAAAAACCTACTTGTAATGATATAAAACCCTGTTTTAATGTCATATTTGAAACACTCCCAAATTTACAAAATTAGGTTACAAATTTTATTTAACAAAGAAAATACTACATGTTCAGTCCTAGGGTCAGAGTCCACTTCCTAGAACGACTATGGGTGGTACTCTCACCACCTGACTTCGGTTTGCCTGTTTGTAGAGAGAGCTGCCATTTTGTATTTTATTTTGACTCGGTTCTCGGTCCCTTGAGTACCTACAAGTCTGGTTTCTTTGTGTGTGCATGATTTGGGCATTTAATTCTCTGTGCCAAATTGCAACTCCTGGCATGTACTGTACTCCTTCATATCTCTAAGCTCACAGCAGGCAGTACAATTTTATAAACAAGACATAGTCTTGTCAATTATTTCATTCACCAAAAACTGGGTACTGATTAAGATATACTTGCACAAATAATCTTTACCTCAGCAAATAAATTGAGGTCAGAAACATTAGATGATTGTAAAATTTATTTGCCGGAGTAAAAGTTGTTTGTGAATGTTCTTGTGGATTAGAAATAATACTTATTATAAATTCTATGTATAATGAACTAAAAAAAAGAGATTGTTGAGAAATATGAAGGTGGCATGCGTATTCGAGATTTAACTGTTGCATACCGTATTCCAAGAATGACGATATTGACAATCATAAAAATAAAGACATTATTAAATCTGCTAACGTTGCGAAAGAGGTTAAATCAATTTCTAAACAGAGACTGAAGACATTAGATCATGTTGAGAAATTGCTTTTGCTTTGGATAACTGAAAAACAGTGTGCTGGCAACAGTGTATCTGAAGCAACTATTTGCGAGAAAGCTAAAAAGATACATGTGATCTCATGAAAAATTAAGCAGGAACTAGCTAGGAAACCAAGGTGTATAAAGCCAGCCATTTTTTTACATTAGAACAAATTAATCATTTTTATGTTACTTCTTATGGGAAAGGTTGGTTCAGTATATGTCCTATTCGGTATAAGTCCAAACACCAGGAACAGATTAAGGTCGTATACTGAGGTTCCACTGTACGTGTGCCGGGCTGTGAACGGCTCATATATTTGTAAAATCTAAGTGACTCATTCAACATGGAATTCACGTAACATGGAATTATCAACAGTGTTATAGGGAGGTCTACTGTATTGACGTAAATGTTCCAAGCAATGTAAATCTAATGTTTGGCGCACAGAAATATGGACAAATAAAGTTTTGAAGTTTTTGAGATTGTCAACAACAAATGTAACTCTCATCTCATCTTTATTAGATTACTTTATTGAAATACAAGGTCTGTTCAAAAAGTATCGGACCTTCGGTCGGTAAAAATAAATTTATTGACTTTGAGGTACAAAACCCTAATCCCCTTCAAAGTAGTCTCCTTGGTAATGTATACACTTCTCCCAGCGTTNTTCTTGGCGTTTTTCTGTCATCAAATTAGTTTCAGGTTCCATTATGAGCTCATCAATGTTCCTTATTTCTCAAATGTGATTTTTATTACTTCTTAAGCTGCTCGAGTCTTCTGGATTATACTGTATCTTTCTTAGATAAGATTGAACTGCGGCCTACTGTAGACCTGTTTGAGCCACACTGCCCAGCAACAACAGACATCTGCCCAGTCTCACCTTTCGAAAATAAAAACTGACACAAAACTTAACATGTGCCTGCCTGATAGTCTCACGAATACTATAAAAAGTTGTTTCTGTCAGAAAAATACAAGGCTGGAATTACAAGGGAGAGTTTCAAAGTTCAGATTAATACTATTCGATCAGTATATACAGAGTTGAGCATTGATGCCGATATCTCCAGCACTCCAAAAAGTTTCGAATTGTTGTCTGAAGACAAGGGAAGATCAATTGGTATTCATTATTTTACGTTGCTTCTTCTTGTGTTTGTTCTGTGAGATGTTTGTTATCCGATCATGTGTTTGTTGTCCGAATGTAAAAATCTTTCGTGAAAGTGTTTGTTATCCGATCACCCACTGTACATAACTGAAAAATTTTAATCAAATAAAATTCAACAAGTTTTTAAAAATAAAAACATTATCTAAAAGTATTTAGATTATTAAGAAACAGACTATCAAGCAAAATCCATTACTCAATAAAAACATACCTAAAAAAAAATTACCAAATTATTATTATTCAACAAATAGGTTTTGTTCTATAAATACCTCTAACAGGAATAGGTGCTACAAGAGGAACCACAGGAGAAGCTATTTTTCTTTCATCATTAGAGCCTCCATCATCAATCAGTTGTAAACCAGGCCATTTTAAAAATGTGTCAGAGAACACACATTCTGGAGATGATGATGAAATAATTGTATCTGGACTATCAGAATCACTAAAAACAGAAAAAAGAAATAAAAGACTCAAACAATCAACTTAATTAAAAAGTTATCTAATAAACAAATTTAATTGATTGGTTCTTATCAATTAAAAAAAAATTTAGTTAAAATTTTGTATAAGCCTACTCTTACATCTAATGCATTTTAAAATTTTTGCATTTGATAAACAATATAAAAATAGAGGATAAGTCTAAATCTTGAAATAAAGTAGAGTCTCTGTAATCAGACATACATTAAACCAGGATGTGTTGGACTAAGGAGATTATCAGATTACTGGATTCTGCATGTACAGTACATACTATACAGTAAAAACACATTTGGTTTATAGGTTGTTTGATTGTATTAATCATGAATGTAAGTGTTTTGTCTACTGCATGTGCAATAAACAACTACAACTGACAGTATACTCATACATCAGTCTCTCTCTGCTGCATACATCTAGTAATAACATAAAAATTTCGTGTGTGCTGCCCCATTAAGGAGAGTCAGATTAGGAGACATATTAGATAGATAAATGACAGACTACAGAGACTCTACTGTATTTTAAAACTAATGTGTATGAATTTAATGCAAAACCGTATTTGGGACAACACTATGTCTCAGAGACTCGCTACTAAGCAGAATCACTTTGACGCTCAAGGCAGGTCTCGTTCTCATTCTCTAATCTTCTTTGGTATTGCTGCTTTTGGGTGCGACTGTTCAAACTTTGCTAGCCACGACCACGATGCATTTTCGTTGAAATTAACCCATCCAATTTTAAAATTTCTCTCCATTGTGTGTCAGTCTGAGTTGAATTTTTGTCAATGCATAATGAAAATTTCTCGTTTTTGAAAAAAATAATTGTCGCTATTGTATTGTCCAAAATTATTTTTCTATTTTGCACAAACAATATACAGTTTAACCTGATTATAACATCATTGGATGTAATGACAACCCTAATATAACGTCAAATTTTTATCAGTCTCATGATTTTACTATACTAGATAATGTTAAAAAACCTACTTGTAATGATATAAAACCCTGTTTTAATGTCATATTTGAAACACTCCCAAATTTACAAAATTAGGTTACAAATTTTATTTAACAAAGAAAATACTACATGTTCAGTCCTAGGGTCAGAGTCCACTTCCTAGAACGACTATGGGTGGTACTCTCACCACCTGACTTCGGTTTGCCTGTTTGTAGAGAGAGCTGCCATTTTGTATTTTATTTTGACTCGGTTCTCGGTCCCTTGAGTACCTACAAGTCTGGTTTCTTTGTGTGTGCATGATTTGGGCATTTAATTCTCTGTGCCAAATTGCAACTCCTGGCATGTACTGTACTCCTTCATATCTCTAAGCTCACAGCAGGCAGTACAATTTTATAAACANACCTGTTCACGCCATACTGCCCAGCAACATTAGGCATCTTCTGCCCACTTTCTACCTTTGCTATTATACTCTCACCTTTTGAAAAGAAAAAAAAAACAGACGAAAAACTTAACTTGTGCCTACCCGACAGTCTCGCGAATACATAAAAGAATTGTTTTGTCAGAAAAATAAAAGGCTGGAATTACAAGGGAGAGTTTCAAAGTTCGGAGGAATACTATCCGATTGGTATATACCGGCTTGAGCGTCGATGTCGACGTCTCCCACACTCCGAAAAGTTTCGAATTGTTGCCTGAAGACAAGAGAAGACCAATCAGTATTCATTATTTTACGTTTCTTCTTCTTGTGTTCGTTCTGTGCAGTGTTCGTTATCCGAACATAAAAATCTTTCGCGAAAGTGTTCGTTATCTGATCACCCACTGTATTCATAGAATATCAAATAAATTTAAAATTTTTATTTATCTTCACTAAAAGGTTTAAAGTCTTTTGTAATTTTAATCATTTTATTTTTACTACAATTAAGCAACTTGATTTATTTTTCTGTCAGTAGAACTGAAATAAATATATTAAGTTTACTTAGGCATAAAAGTAATAGTAAAAAGTAGTAAAGTAATAGAGTAGAATTTTCTTATTGTAATCATGGATATTGTTTTCCATCATTTTAATGTTATCAATCTTAGTTTGTCATAAAACATATAAATTAAAATACACTTATAAAACAAGACTTATTGTAATCAGAATTTTGATTATAATTATCAACATTTAAACAGACATTTTTAAAGCTGAGATTTTGTTCTATCAGCCTCGATATTGGCTGATAACTTGCACCTGTCATCAGTTATTAGTCTTAAGAAGTGCTTAAAATGTTCAACTTTTATTATTTTAATTTTTATTTACTTGTAGTAAAGTAATTTAAATTGTGGCATTTATAATTTCAATTATATGCTAACTATTGTTAAAGACAATACTGTACTAAACAGCACGCAAACAATACAATGAATTACTATTAATTAATAATTATAAGTCTTTAAATTATGTATGTTTTATTATTATTTTAATATGTCATTTTAATGTTAGAGTAATAAAATCAGATTTTCCATTAATTATAATCTCGTCTGCTTACCTTGCTTAATGTTATCAGTTAGCTATTATCATCATTATTAGGTGCTCCACAAAAGTATAGAACCTTTCAAAATAATTGGTCTTCAGAACATGCACTAATAGATAGAAATAGATTTTTTTATGCATAATTCAGCACCTAACTTATAAAAATGCAATTTTAGGAAATTTGAGCTTCTAATTTATGGCTGACTGAAAAATAGTGATGAAGTCAATTTACATACTGCTACATAAGTATAAAACTGCCATCTTTCTCACAACTTTGAAGTGTGAAAGTATTTTTTTTCATTATGCCTTGTGGTACCCATTTAACAGACTTTGAGAAGCACTGGTTTAAGTCATCAGGCAGTAGCAAACAGCATCAAGCATTCGAAAAAGGTAGTTCAGCATTATTTGTCAAATCCTGCAAACGATGGATCAAAGTGTAGAAATAGACATCCTTCAAAGCTTACCCTGCAAGAATGCAGAGGAATTGTTAATGCAGCCTCTAATCCAGTGTTTGTTTACCGGCACTGGTCTGCGGAGATTCTTGACCAGTCCACAGAGAATTTTTACCGCTGTGCATTAAAAAATTTTCTCATTCAAAAATAATAATGATGATATCAGATGCTGAAATTCTTCTTTGTTGTCTGTGACACTATGTTGAATTTTGTCAATGTTAAGCCTAATGAAAATTGCATATTTTTTAAAAAAGTAATCGTGGCTATTTTATTGTCCAAAATTATTTTTTTATTTTGCACAAACAAAATAAATATATTGAAAAATATAAAAACAAAAAAAATTTATATTTCAAAAGTTTGTTTTAATATAAAAATTATGACACAGTGACATCTAGTATAAAAAATGTTCTGATACAGTAATGAGTATATTCGGAAACAACACAGGACAGGTTAATAACATGAACCATAAACAGGGCATGCTCTCTCATTTTTTGAATACCAGTCTCAGAAAAATGACAGTGAAACAGAACTTGGGTGTCCACCAGAAAAAAAAAAAAAAAACATTTTATCAGGCACTACAACAATGAATATTTAAAATATGGTTTTATTCTGTGGCCTAAATCTATGGAAGAAGATGTATGTACGATGTGTATCATTTGCCATGAAGTTTTAGTGAATGATGGTATGAAACCATTGAAAATGTTATGACATTTGAAGTCTAAACATTCTCAGCTAGAAAATAAACAGTATGAACATTTTGAGCATAAAAAACAAGAATCAGTATTACAGATAAAAACATTTAAATAAAACTTTGTTCAGAATAAGTCATTAATAAAATGCTCATATCTAGTTGCACTTTGAATTGCTAAAGCCAAAAAAAACCATTTACCATTGGGGAAATTTGATAAAACCAGTTTTAACAGTTTGTTCAGAGATGTTTGGATCCTTGGCTGCTGATAAAATTAAATCTATTCCCTTATCTAATGATAGTATAAAAAGAATTGAAAAATTATCAGAGAATGTAGAACATCAGTTACTACACAAGATAAAGGAATCAAATTTTTTTGCGATACAAACTGATGAATCATGCGATATTTCTCAAAAGGCCATATTAATTTACTACATCAGATATATTGATTTAATTTTGGAAGAAATAAAAGAAGAATTCTTGTGTTGTGAAGAACTACATTCATATACAAGTGATGAAATTTTTAACATACTTCATTCTTATTTTATTAAACACTCTTTAAAATGGAAAAACTGCATAAATGTATGTACCAATGCAGCAGCTAGTATGGTTGGCAGACATTGTGGTGTTACTAAAAGAATTCAGCAGTAGCTAATTCTGATTTACTGATTACCCACTGTATAATTCACAGACAACATTTAGCAATGAAAAGTCTATCCACAGAATTAAATGAGGTTTTAGCAGAATCTATAAAAATTATTAATTTTATAAAAAGTAGCAGTTTAAACAGTATATTATTTACAATATTTTATAGGGAGGTTGGTGCAGAATGTGAACAATTATTGCTGCATACAGAAGTTAGATGGCTCTCCCAAGATAAGATTTTAACCAGGCTTTTTGAATTAATGGCGTTAGTAGAAATATTTTCAGTAGAAAAAAAAGTCCTTTAAGAATTCACTTGTCTAATGTAGAATGGGTTGCAAAACTAGCATATTTAAGTGATATATTTTCATACATTAATGATTTAAGTTTACAAGAAATTGCAATAAATGCATTTCATTTCTTTACTAAAAAAGAAAGATTTAAGAAAAAAATTAATTTTTGGTTGGATTAGGTAAAAATAACAATATTGATATATTTAATAATTATTCTGAGTTTGTTACTTTGCAATTATATAGACTTATCAAAATTAAATATAATCATTGGTAATAGTTTTGAAAAATATTTTCCATCTGAAAAATCCACATGTGAAAGGAATTTGTGGATAACTAAACTAACCCTTTCATAATATATGACAGTAGTAAATTAGATTTAAGTAACAGAGAATATGAGTCCATCCTTGAGATTAGTTCAGATATTATGTTAAAAACTAGGTTTTAAACAATGTCCATAGATAAATTTTGGATCAAAACAAAAAATTAATATCCATCTCTATACAAGAAAGCAATGAAAATGTTAGTTCCCGTCGCAACAACATATTTATGTGAAATGAGGTTTTCAACTATGATGATAATAAAAAATAAATTTAGAAATTGACTTTCAATTATTTCATCACTCTGACTCAGCTTGACTAATTTAGAACCCACAATTAAAAAGTTATTTGAAGAAGCGCAGCAGCAATCTTCTCATTTGCAATGCATACCAAATAAATAAAAATTTTAAATTTATAATTTTTAGTAATCATAGGATTGATTTTTCTGTTGTGTACCTATATGCAATAAATTTGTGATTTTTTAAATAATTTTTTATGATTTTTTGTTGTAATTTTTGTCAAGGGTTTGCTATTTATTAATAATTATAATTAAAAACAACAATAAAAATTATACTTTCAGTAAATACTATTAATTTAATTTTTAGTAATCATAAGACTAATTTTTTAATTGTGTCCTATATGCAATGTTTTTGTAATTTTATTATGGTTTTCTGTCATTTTTGTCAAAGATTTAATTATATAAAATAATTATAATAATTACTTATATTTACATTTAAATATTATTGTAAGTAAATGATAATAATAATTTTACAATTTACTTCTGTAGTAATTCTTTAATATCTAGTAAAAGTTTTTTGTTAAAAAACCACTGGTCTGTAAAATTTTTTTTCACAAATTTTACTGGTCTATAGGCCAAAAACGGTTGAGAAATGCAGCTCTAATCCACTATGTCTACAAATCAAATTTGGGATGATTTAATATTCAAGTAAATCATGGAACCATTCGAAGGGTTTTACATAACAACAACAACCTTGTTTGCTTTCAAACGAGAAGTGTCCCTGGTCTTAAGCCTGAGCACAAAGCTGCCCAACTTGATTTTGTTAGGAAAAATATGGCCACTGAATAGAATAAGATAAGTTTTTTGTTTCGTTTAGACCAGTTTTTCTCAATGGGGCAATATCGCCCCCATGTGGGCATTTTTCCATGTTGAGGGGGCAATTAGTAACAATTTATATTTTAAGGGGGTAAAAAACAATTTTCTGGGTGATATAGTAAAACATTATATTAGGAATAATTAGATATTTTATTCATTATATCGTACAATAATTAAACGAATAACATTATACCAGTCGCGAGTCTATTCAATGCAGTATGAATTTGGCATTAGCCTTGTCCCTCAGCATCAAAATTTTGTAATGAAGGGGGCAATACTACGTAACAGTTTTATTAAAGGTGGTGATGATTCATTAGAGGTTGAGAAACACTGGTTTAGACCTATTGTGCTAGCACAAGAAATAACAACCTTTTTGTTGTATAGGTAATCTTTTTGGATGAAAAAAATTTAATTTGAGTGGACCAGATGGTTTAGTGTTCTACTGGCATGATTTATGAAAAGAGCCCAACTACTTTTCATGAAGGAACTTTGTTGGTGGGAATGTAATGGTTTGGGGCTACTTTTCTGCATTGGAAAAGTTAGATTTTGCATTTGTTACCTGTCGCATGAACAGTGCTGACTATCAGCAAGTTCTGGAGAACAAATTGCTGCCATACAAATGCAGATTCAGAAGAATTCCTCTTATTTTCCAACAGTACAACACATCTATCCATATATCAAGAGATACAAAACAGTGGTTTTAAATAAACAGATTGAACTTTTGGATTGGCCAGTTTGATCTCCTGATTGCAAACCTATGGTAAACGTTTGGGGATCTTGGTTCGCTGAATTTATGGCCAAAATTGTCAATATGCCGACGTTGAACACTTAAAACAAGCAATTGTCACTACTTGAAACTCCTTGAGGCATCAATCATAAAAAACCTTGTTAATAGCAAACCAAATTGCATTTTTGATGTTATTAGTAAAAGGGATGTGCAAATAAATTACTAAATTAAACTATTTTGTAGTATTTAATGCTTTTTGCATTCATTTACTAGTTGATTCTATACTTTTGTGGTGCTTAAAATCAGTTTTTTTTTTTTACAATTTCTGCTGTTTGCTGTGATATAGGAAACTATGAGTTTTGACAAATTATGTTTTCATTAGTCCTGAACAATATAAGAAAGGTAACTACATCATACTTGTAATTTCTAATCTTAATATAGTAAATCTGCAGCACTTCTATACTTTTGTGGAGCACCTTAGGTGATCATAAAGTAATTACAATAAACAGTTTCTACTATACTGTATAGTAATCAAAAATAAAGCAAAACAAAACTTAAACACCATGTATATTTTAGACTATTCTAACTGAATTGCAAAACTGAGTAATTTATTCAAACTAAATTTATATTTTCAGAAAATTGTAAAATAATGCCAATTGAATTTATGAAGAATTTAACTCTGCAGAGAAACAATATATTCTTTAATATTTATAAGATTTCTAAACCTTATAAATATTAAATTGTTTCATTGAAACTGCAGAAATACACAATTTTAAATTATGTTCATTTAATCCTAATTTTATTTTTAATTTATTTATATTTACCGTATAATTCTTTGAGAATCTAGATATGGTGGAGGAGTTGGAAGAGAGGCTGGAATATCAATTCTTCCTCTATCTGTAAAATGAATAATTTAATATGTATAATATTCTGAAAAAATTAAATACAAAATAAATTCAAGTTCTATAACATAAATAATTTCTTATTTGAAATGCCATTAATCTTCCATTTAACAAATAAAGAATAACAATACATAAAAGAATACATGAAAAATTCAAAATATAAAATAAGATGTGTATAACCAATACATATAGTCTTCAACCTATATCCAGCGTGAAAATTCCAAACTAATATTGGCAAATGCTTTTGATGCCCCTCCTGGGCTCTTCTTCAGGACAAATTTAATGTACTAGATTCTTAAATCGAATATTTTTAAATAAGAACATGCTCCGTTACTAGAGGATGAATCGTAATTTATTATACGATACACCAGATTATTATGGGATGCGCACATCATATCTCCACGAATATAAATTATAAAGAAATTATAATTTGAAAAAGCATGTGATTACCTTCCTTATTTGAACTTCTAGTAATGGAGCACGTTCTTATTTTAAAATATTCGATTTAAGAATCCAGTACATTAAATTTGGCCTGAAGAAGAGCCCAGGAGGGGCATCAAAAGCGTTTGCCAATATTAGTTTGGAATTTTCACGCCGGATATAGGTTGAAGACTATACGTATTTGTTGTATATGACCAGGTGTGGGAGAAATCCTTGATTAAGATGTGTATATTTGTAAATTTGCTTATACAGTAGAGCATCGTTTATCCGAATCAATTGGGGACTGGGGTGGTTCGGATAACTTATTTTTCGGATAACGAATCATGTATGAAAAAATATATTAATTTATCCCATGTTGAAATTTCTCTCCGTTGCGTGTCGCTTTGCGTTGAATTTTCGTCGATGTTAAGCCTAACGAAGACTATTGTATCGTTAAAAATTATTTTTTTATTTTGTACAAACAAAATAAATATATTGAAAAATATAAAAACAATAAAAAATTATACTTCAGATGTTAATTTAGTATCAAAAACGTAAAATATTTGAGTAGCCCGAGAAATAGCCAAAGATTGCAGCGCCACAGCACTAGCGAAAATTTAAATTTACCGACTGGAATGCTTTCGGATAACCAGCTTTCGGATAAACGACACTCTACTGTATTAACACTGGCAAAAAAAATTTACTCATGTAATGCGTTACAACTATTCACTGAAAATATAAAATCTTTAAATATATATACAAAACATAAATACAGTTGAATGAAAATGCATCTATGAATGAAATTCAGTGTGTTTTATATATCTGTCAACTCTTCAATAAATATTTCCAAGCTGATATTTGTTTAAAATATGCTTTATGCTTACACTCGAAATTGCTTCATGTGACACCAAATAGTTTAAGAAAATATTAACACTGTCAGTCAGCATATAACAGAATATAACAATTTAAAATGCAACATAAATTCAACTTTAATGAAATGCAACTTAAATGTCTTCCTGGTAACAATCAATTCCATTTTTCATAAAAAATTGTGAAACAAAAAAATAAAGAAACCAAATTGCAGTTTTTTCTGATAGACTAAACTGCATTCTAGACTTTATGAACTGTGAGAACTTCTTTTGTTTCAAGAACTTAAATTAAAAAAATAATAAATACAATGTCAAAATCTTATCTTTACGTGATTTTTTTCTCTTAAGTAGTAAAAACTAGATTTCAAATATACTACTTAATAAGTGAAAACATCTTTCATATAATGATCTTACCTCTTGAACGATGAGAAAATTCCTGTGAATAGTAATTGCGAAATGGAGGTGGAGTGGGAGGTAAAGAAGCAGGTGGTGTTGGAGGATTACTTCCAAACGGATAAGTAGAATAAAAATCTCCTTGACTTGGAAGACAAGAATGGCCATAACTTCCTCGAAGTTGATTTTCTAAAATATCAATTTACATTTGAATATTTAAGATATTACAAATGCTAATTTTACATGTTATAATAAATTCAAATTAACAAAATTATATATTTTAAAAATTTTATTATCTTTAAATAAATATATATTAATACATAATATAAAATGTAGCAGCAATAATATATTTATATCCATAAAGTAACATTGAATGAGGTCTTTTAAAAAGAGACAGAACAATCAAGCTTAATATGTAACTTTCTATTATTATTATAACACGATAAAACAACTGAAATGAGATCATAAAAATATGACTATATAAACTGTACAATCTGAATGCATCAAGAATTTAATAATTTCAAGAAACATTCTTCTACTTATTAGATACTTAAAAAATTATATACAATAGAGTTATCATTAGAGCCGAAAATTTTTGCTTTTGGTGAATTTCTCAGCTATATTTGCTTGGAATGAGCATCTTTCAATTAGTACTAATTTAAAAATCTGGTCTCAATATCACAAAGCTTTTTGCCAAAAATTGGCGAGTTTTACCCTAACTAGTGAATTTGGTGATAGGTGGCGAAATCATCAGTTTCCTATGTGCTTCTTGCAAAAATGTCTAGAAAACAGTTAATTGAGTTTATAATTGATTCTGTGATTAAGGAATTAGGTGGCAATATATTTCGCTGTACCAAAAAAACAATTCTCTGTGTTAAGTGCTCTACACACATCAACTACGAACGTGATACAATTAAGAAATGACTTTCGGAACATCTCAACAGTGCAAAACACAGGAAACATAACACGCTATAGTCACAAACACAGTTTGAAAATAGAAGTGATTTTGATAAAGAAATGGTTGAAGCATTCACCAGTGCAAATATTCCACTTGAAAAATTAAATAACGAAAAACAGAAGTTGTTTCTCGAGAAATATATGAAGAAGCCGATCAAGTGTTCCAGGTATTTTTTTTATTGTAATTAGTTTTTTTTAATGAAACGTTTATTTTATTGAAATTGATTCTGCTGTTTGCAACTGTGCTCATAATTTAGCTAAAATGCGATTTTATTTGAAGTCTCATTGCGTTATTTATTTTTTTAACACTGCAAGAACATAAAAAAACTATCTTCAACTCAGTAACAGAAAAATTAAGAATGAAAATTAATAGACATAATGTCTATTTCATTGTTGACAAAACCAGTGACAAAGTGCAACATAAAGTGGTCAATGTGCTTGTAGGAAAAATGAATGGTGAGAAAGCAAAATCAATGTTAATTGATGTAACATTTCACTCAACAGTTGACAACATTATAATTCAAGAATGTATACTCAACGTGTCTAGAAAACTGTGTCCAAATGATTTAAAATATTCAAAACTAAAGTTAATAGGGACAGATCAAACAAAATACATAATGAAGGCAGTAAATGAGATTAAGAAAAATTCATTGATTTTTCCAAATGTACATCAAGTCATGTGTCTCACTCACGCCTTACATAACATTGCATTTCAAATTCAGAATGAGTATAAATTAACAAATTTGCTTATATTAGAAATGAAGACGTTTTTTGTGAAGTCAAGAGAAAGACAAAGTTATTTTAAAAATGAAACTGGAGTTAATCTTCCTCCAGAACCAATTGTCACACTCTGGGGGTCTTGGTTAAATGCTGCAAAGTACTATGTCGATAATTTTGATACTGTTGAGTGCTTCATTTTGAACTACTGTATAAACAAAAATTCAAATCAAATGCTAGAAATGTATTGGTAAAACTAACCTCAAGAAAGAATTATTTGATCTCCGTAATCTTGTCAAGCTATCAAATATTATAATATCACTAAAAGAACAAGGACTCAGTGTAACTAAACAAGCCAAACTAATTGAAAATGCAAAGGAAATTGTTTCTGGCTATCCTATATTTTCTTGAAAATTGGAAAAAGTTTTGTCAAGCAATCCTGATCTTATCAAATTTATGTCTTTTCATATGAATTTAAGTGATAAAGTTAATAGCGAATACGCTCCTTTAGATGCAGTCGACATTGAACGTTCATTCTCATTATATTCATCAATATTGAGCAATTGATGTCACAGTTTAAGCAAGGATTATTTAAAATATCTAAGTGTAATTCGTTTTAACTCGTTTTTTAAATAAATAACTGGCGATAACTTTCGGCTATAGTTATCATAATCTATATACAGTGATACCCGAACTTACGCGATAGGTGGGACCGAGCGATAACTGTGTAAGTCAAATTCGCGTAAGTCAGAGTATAATTTCGCAATTTGTGTAAAATCCAAGTCAAATGTATGTAAGCTAATAAATGTTCTCATTAATCTTATCTCGTCTTTCGATTCGTTCACAATTACAAAAAATCACCACATAGAGTCTCTCAAGTCTCTGTAGATATAACAAACACAGAAATAAATAACACAAAATAAATTGTAGCTATGTGTTGATTCCGCGTGACACATCCGAATATGTAAGCTGAACAATACTGTGGGGGGGAGTGAGTAATCAAGGATTGTGTGGAGCTCAAAGAAAAGACGAATCGACGAGATTTGAAAATCGCGTAAGTTGAGGGTAGCGTAAGTCGAGGTATTACTGTATATAAAAATGAATGTCTGTCTGTATGTCCTTCATGCATTACCATACCGTTTATCTGACTGCCATGAAACTTTAGGAAGTTGTTTAATACACTCCCGCGAAGGTTTCTGGCATAGTACATTTATCCTACAATAGATGGCACGTGTGTATATGAGCATTTTACTGTGTGTTCGATCGATTTCAAATTGTGAAGACCATTTTCCCCCTCCAAAAAATATCTATATATATGCATTTGTGAACTGTTATTTATAATATTTGTAATAACTTTTGTTTAATCACTTTATTTCAACTATTTTTTGCTAATTATGTATTCGTTCGAACTTGTTAAAACTGTAACTGTATCCTGAACAACAACCGAAGTTGTAGGAGGAAATTTGCTTATTTTACTGATCTAGGGATCCCCCCTTTTCCAAATTTTAATATCGACTCAAAATAATTTAAAAAGACAAATTACAATAAAACGGTTTATTATCAAACTATCAGAAATTTCACAACATGCCAAGGAAGAGAGGAAGGAGCAATTAAATAGTTAAAATTGTAAAGGATTTAAAAAAATATATAAAAATGGGGAATATCGCACTTCTGACAATCGCTGCAAGTGTGTAGGCTAAATTTGGAGAATCCGTGCTTCTCGCATGGACAACTGTATGTGGCCAGCTCATGCGTCAGAAAACCTTCTAATTTATTCGTGTATGCACCAGACAGAAAAACAAAAAATATCGCGTATCCACAAGCACTCCAATAAATAAATAGAATTGAAACGACACTTTGAAATGTTTTCCCGATGATAATGAATAATAATAATAATAATAATTGTCTTCCATTCTCATTGATGAT